TAAGTCTACACAGGGCCCCCAAGTGGGGGCTAGGGGTGGTCACATGTCAGGGTCGAGATCCTGCTCAAGGATTCTAGAAGGTGGTCGTCGCTAAGGGCGGAGCCAGCCACGCCACAGAGGATATAAGCCGGGTCCCCCAGAGGGACCGGCTGCTGTTGTTCATCCTGAAGAATCTACATTCTACATTCTACGTACTACAGAGTCTCCAACACATCTTGGATTAACCCAAGCTGTGGTCCGGTCTGTTGTACATAGCTAATTATGGTGTAATTAGTTTAGTTAGCCTGGTGGTCCACCACCATAGATTGTTATCCTGTAAAGGAGCAGTTACCCTGTGTGTTGGTGTTAATAAATGTGTTGCCTCCAAAGAGTACGTTTGCGACTCAGTTGAACTCATTACAAATGTACAAATAATAAGCCACTTTGTTGAGCTATCATTTGTGGCCAGGTCCCTTCTGAAAAACAAGTTAATACCTCAGTGGGCTTTGCCTGTTAGGATCGGGATGGTTTAGTTGTATTTGTATGTTTTGGGTGATTATTGTACTTTGCACTACTATTATGTTTTTGCCCCTACTGGAAACCTGTCAAAAATAGCTTTATAGCTGTGTTTTTTTAAAATGGGATTTGCACATAATTAAAATCTAAAATATACACAATTTGAAAAAAGGCTGAAGTGATGGTATTTGTCGTGCAGTGAGGCACTTAACAGGTGGACCACGAGAAGGCTAGGATCTGCCACCCGGTGTATAATTCCCATTGAGCACATTCATGATCAAGATACAATATCGGTCTGCAATCTTGATACAATTGTGGAAACAAGAAACGAAATGACAGAAATGTTTAGAAGATTAAAAATGAAAATACTTGTTAAAGGCTTCCAGGACAAATATGGGGAACCAAATGGAGCCATTTTATCTTTTCATCATAAAACCATGACACCACTTCTATCATGTTTTACTATATTGCCACGTGTAATTTGCCATTTTTAATTGGTTTCCAAATGTTGTAAATCTAAACTCATATTGCGCGACCCACACGAGCGGTGGTTAAAGCGTAGGCAATCAGCACGGTGTTCCTACCACTAATAAGACACAAGACGGCACGGCGTAGCAGCTAATAGAGGTGTAGCCCTAGCACGTCGGTGAGACGAGCAATGCATTTAATATAGATATACATGTGCTAAATCAACGTGATGTACTGTGCATCGAATACACCCGAATATATATTACATAAGATATAGCATTTAAAAAACAACTATAGGTTTTACCCTAAGTGTTGTTAAGATGTTCAAACACCAACATAGATACCTTTTTTTAATCTTGTTAGAGTCGCCGGCCCCCGGGATCTCTCCTGCCTGCGACCCTGTCCGCGAAGTACCGACGCTCCCAGACTCTCCACTAGTGTGGGAGCTGCCGCCGCTGCACTCCTCACCGGGCGGGGAAAGGTCGCCGCGCTCCTGTTCCCCCCCCCTGTGCTGTCCCCCCCCGAGTCCGGGTTTCCTGCCGGTGAGGCATCGCCCTCGACCGCCCTGGGGCCCGCTAGCGCTTCGCCGGCACCCGAACGCGACGCTCCCCGCCCGCGCAGTCCCACGCACCAATCACACGCGGGTAACTGGGGGTTAGAGGTCGGAGGGTAAGCGACGTCGTTCGTACCCACTCCGGCGATTGGGGGGATTGGGTTAAACGGGTTTAAAGGGCTATGCGATGGGCATGCGTGCGAGATGGGTATCCGCTCGCAACGGGGGAGTCCGGCGCCGACGGTTTGTAGCGCCCACACCCCACGCGGTGCCGCTCCACACACGCGGCGACCACCGCGAACAGCGAGCGCATCCACGCTTCCACTCTCTTTTCACACCCTCGCAAAAACCACACCAGTCCATTATGTAATCGCCGACGATTTATTCCACCGGGTCGGCGAGCCCTTATTTAACCGAGTCAGTCGGGATCGGCGGGGCAGGACCAATCTATCTCTCGATAGTCGGCACTATACTCTACCTGTCCTTCTCCCCTTTACCCTCTCCGGTTTTCTTCTTAAGCTAAGTCCCAACTCCCTCTTTCTCTCCCTCCCTTACTCACGGTTCGTCGTCACTGCCGGCTGGACCTCGCGGCGCGTCGATACGTCCCACGGACGTTCGCGCGGCTGGACTCGGGAGTTGACGGGCCTGGGGTTGACTCGAGTAGCCAGAGACCCTTTTTCCTTCGCCCTGACCCGCTTTATTCTTTCTACATCAAAGGGGCTACCTGGTGCCGACTCGCGGGCCAATCAGCTCGCTGGGATCACCCGCCAATCGGTAGGCCCATCTGTATCCCAGCATCCCCTGGGCCGTTGCTTTCAGCGACGTCCGCATCTAAATTTACCTGCTCAGTGGCCATCCAGCCAGAGGGCGACCCTGCTTTCCCGCCGCTCGTGGCTCTGCCCTCCTCCCTACCTGCCCTGCCGACCCGTGTGCGTGAGGTGCGTACTAACCGCGATGGCGGGGCAGCCCCGCCATGAACATGTCATTTCTACTCAAGTCGCGGCGCCACGGTGTGTGTTAGCGTCGGAGGAGACCGTCCAATTCCCTGGCCGCAGGAAACCGTGAAGATTATCCCTTTACGAGGGCTTCTGGGTGAAAACCTGTCGGCCAGGGTGTCTCCCCACGTGCTCTAATGGTGGGGGGAGTGCGTGCGTGTGTGTTCCGGTGGGGGGGGTGGGGAGGTGGTGGGGTGGAGCAATGTCGGCCTCGCCGCTCGGGGCGGCGAGATCGCAGGTGGGCCACCCGCCGATCGGCTCCGTGGCGGCGGCATCACAATCTCATATAATTCTGTTGTCACAACCGGAATGAATTATTTTCCAAAGTTGTTGGCTGATAAAATCACGAATGGGACGAGAGACAAACACACGCGAGTTGCAGGTTTAATATTTTAAAAGAGTTTAATCACCCAAGCACCCAACAATATCGAGAAAAACCAAAACAATCGAACAATATGCCAAGAAATATTAGAAAATAATAAGAATAATCAAAGGTACCACACCAGTACTTTCCATAGAGGATTAATGTTTCACACAAGTTGTACAAGAAGGCGTTCACACAAAGGGAATGATATTACGTTCAGTGAATGGGTGGGGTTTCTAGTTACGTCGCCCTTTCACCACCCAAAGACAAAGATCCCCAGTATAGCCTACACCAGATTGTTGGGGCAAGTGCTGTTAGCGACCACCTATGAAGGCCGGCATGGCACACAAGGGGGTGGCCAACACCACGTCCGGCCGCCTTTGTCTCCTCAGTGGCAATGTTTACACACTGCACCAGGTACTCATTTGAGGCTGAGTCGACCTAGGGGAGGCCCAGGACCGGTTCAGATAATCGTCAATGGTGTTGGCCGTGAGCGGGAATCGAACTCTGGTTGCTGGGTTCCGAGCACAGCACACTAACCCACTCACCACCCAAACACACACGGTATAATTTTGGTTATTTATAGTGGCACGGTTTTTTTTCCCGCTCACCACCAACCACCACCATTACCAACTCATCTGTTTTTGTACAGCTGGACATTTAACATCGACTGACAACACCAACAGAGATTAGACTTCGCGTGAGTGCATCGACCTCGTTTCTATTGGTTTTTCGCGAAACATTGATGAGGGCTGCACCTTTGCCTTTATCATAATCTATTTATATCTGCTGGCAAGGAATGCAAGTTATTTAGTGCGTTAGGATTTGAGGCTACAATTCTTTAGCTTTTAGTTTGACATTTCTTTCTGGATTTTCTTGAATTTACATTGCTAAGAAAAGACCAGTCTGTTGGCTGCATAATTATATTCGTAGGCTTTCATGATTAATATTATTCAAATTGAATTTATTTTAGATTAGATACTCGTGTAGAGATAACGTAGTTTTGTTTCATCATAACCCTCCACCAAAGCAATGAAAGTTATCACTGGGCAAATATGCCAATTGATTTGGATTTTTGAACCGAAATATTGAAAAGCAAGCAACATTTTCGAAAACGTGAAGAGCATACGCAAGATGATTTGAGGATAATTGTTTTCAAAATTTGACATCATACCTACACGAAAATCTCCCCCAAAATAAACAAACTATGCATCTATTGGCGGAATGCTAGTTTCTGATATAAACAATGCAGGTGTGACTTCATTACGAATTTAATCATTTAATCACGCATAATAAAGCACCGTTATAACGAGGAATGCGGACCATTTAAATTCAATTTCTGAGCGATCAAAGCCAAACCATTTTCTTGAGCTGCGTGACTGAGCGGAAGAGTGATATTGTAGATGGGATGATACTGTAATGCGGTGGTATACTCTCAGTTATGTCCCGCCATCTTACTATGTGGTGTGCAAAGTAGTACATTGTATCTCTCCAAAGCTTATCGTATTTGTGGGGGATTTTATCTTCGCTTAACGCCTTTTTTCAGTTAACTCGGCACTTTTCAGGATTGTATCCACCACGTGAAATGAGCACTTACCTGACTTCACAGGAACAAGCGTTGAGTCGTGCATTCCAGAATGCACTTGTGAATCGCCATGGTTTCATCAGTGTTTTTTTCTCTTTCATTTCACTTTATATGTTTTTATCACACGAATTGCCCAATATTTTAGTACACGAATCGCACTACAAGTTGTAAATGGCCTAAATGGAGTAATCGTGGAAAGAATAGGTCGGTATTTTGAATGCAAACGGGACGAGTATATTGTCATTGCTCACAATGTATTTCCCTACATAGGCTCTTGGGTGTGACCTGTATGAAATATTGTCATTGGTCTTTTCCAAGTTTTATGATTTAAACTTAGGAATGTGTTACCCTTTCTGGCAATACAACATGAGGAGTGAAGATGTTCAAACACCAATTAGATAGAATTTGCAAGGCATCACGTCTGCATTAACCACACGTACTTGTGGCAAAGCATGCAAACAAACATGCTCTGATAATAATGAATGCATTGTCTATGAAAATGATTGGCCTACACCAGTGACAGCCTTCTTTATGGCCTTGTCTCTACACCAGTGTTAGACCAGAGACCACCAAAAGGTGAACAGTACAAAGACAACGCAAGAATCAGAACACGTATAGCTCGGGTTGAGCAGATATTTTTGATATTTTTCCAAAAGGTTACATAGATATAGATTCAAAGATATTTTGTAAAAATGCAAAAGTGATCATTAGAATGCCTAATAACCTCGTGCTCCTGCTGAAATACCTATGCCCACATAGAGGCTAGTTCTGGGTCGCATTGTACCGCACATCTACAGCTGTCAATAACGGGGTCCTTTACATAAACATTAAAGAAAACTGCAGCGAGATATCTGAATGATTGATATGACATGTGATATTAAGGCGCTTTAAGATTTAAGCTCCCAGTCAATGTAAATCCTTAGGGCGACAAATTGCACGGCAAACAGACGGCATTCGTAACTTTAAGCGGCAAGCATTACTCTCACGAGTTGTTTCACTCAACTATCTAAAATGTGCCGACAAAGTCAGCCTTCAGAAACCGAAATGGGTTGAGCTTGGATAGTGTAAATGTTGTGGATTTACTTCCCATTCCACCGATGCGCTGAAGTAATTATATAATTAGCACGTTTTGTTCACGTGACAACCCTCAATAATTGGCTGTCAGGTGGTGGTGGGTTCACGACACACTATGTTTACGTGATTTAACCCAAAAACCTTTATGAATTGTGATATACTATGCTTCCCATCATCATCAATCCATACTAATAAACGTGGTAAAGTATTGTCAGAAAATACTCATCGTTCACACGGTGTGAGGAGGCCATCATTCAGATATCAATTTACCAAATGTTTTGTACTGGTACTTATGCAAATTATACCTATTGTGATAAGCCTTCCACCAATCCACTGCTTAAGTTACGTAATAATGAACAGATATATACGTTCTCTATTGTACTAATATGTATACAAACATGCATATATGTCATAAAGAATCGACAGTTTGGCATTATAAACGTAATTTAGAGAGAAGAGTAAACCACTGATATTTTTGAATTGATGGAATTCCAGTAGTCTATGGCATTAAAAGTGAGTGAAAACCGTGTGAGTTCTCTTTCTCCTCGGTGCAATTTGCTTTAGTGCTGTGGAGTGTCTAAGATTTAGAAGTCTCAGATGTTGGTTGTGGTGGTTGCGTCAATCTCAGTAGTGGGTGCTGGTGTTTTCTAAGTAGAGGCTTTTGTGGTAGTTGTGGTTCTGTTGGCGTTGTTGTATTAGAAGAAATGCTTTTGGTTATGGCATTCTTGTTGCTGTAGAGGGTTTGGTGGCATTGATGGTTGTTGTAATGTTATTGTGGTTGGTTGTGGTGATGGTGTCTCAGTAGAGGATGTTGAAATTGATGGCATAGGTGTTGAGATTGACTTTCACTTCACAGAGGCTCAACGAGTCGACTCTGCCTGGGATGATGATGGAGACGAAGCGGCCCTTTAGGAAGGGGCACGGATAGTCGCGTGATCTCCCCAGAGGCACAAATATGTCTTCAGCGCACCTAGGAGAATGGTAACGATGCAGATGGGCGCAGGACAGGAAGAACTGTTAGACACAGGGAAAGCGATACAACGGATCTGTATACTCTCATGTACTCCCATCTCCGCCCCCGCCCAGCCCCCTCTTACCTCTCGACCGACTTGATCTCCCATCCCACAGAGAACCCCACCTACCAGTTCCACCCAGCACATCCTCTCCATTAATATTAATATCTAATCGCATTTACAACAGTGCAAACAACAACAAAACAGAACCTGGATACAAGTGATTGCCACAGCCGGTATGGGGGAAAGAGAAATGGAGAGAGGAGAAAAGACATACAGCTCAAGAGTGAAGGGTGGAAGTAGACAGGGTAAAATGATAAAACCAGGAAACGGTCCTAGGGGAAAACAAGATTGATATACTCGGGAATCGCGTTCATGTTATTTTAGAATCGGTTTCATTTGGCTACATTTATCTCCCCCCACCCCATTCTCCTTTCTCTCCCTCCCCTGAAAATATTCTGTACCCCATACATTGTCCCTAGGGTGGTAGGACATTGAGCCCAAGCGTTTCGAGTGGGTGCCCTGTTACGCGATTGTAACCTGTGTTTCCCTATCAAATGATTGTGTTGTGTTCATGGGGTCTTGAATAATAAAATAAATACGTAGTCATAGTTGTAGTAGTAGTAATAAAACCCAACAAAACAGGTCAACAAAAGGGAGACCACTGCTTTCTATGAACAGCAGAGACTCTGGTCGAGTGTGGAGACCTCGAGAAGTTTGTAACAGTGGATGGGTCAGACAGGGTAAGGGGTATTGTGGCGTAGTGCGTGAGGCATACCCATTAATCTGGAGAGAGACGCTCGTGTTTTTTTGGCGCGGTCCTTTGTGTGGAGCCAGGAGCCACCACAGCGTGGTCAGACCGACGTGGGGGCAAGTTTTGAGTGGAACACACCAACCAGTGGAAGGGAATCTCAGACCATTTATAGTCGGACCTCTCACGTGATTGGCCCAGGGGCTAAACAATGGGCTGAGCAGCACCATAAAAGTAGCACCCGAATCGGCAGGGGGGGAGGTCTACGCAGAAGAAGCAGTAGTGGTGGTGAAGTGCAGCATTTCACCACCACCACCCGCCGCCCAGTAGTGGCTGAGTGAGCTCCCACCTCCAAGCAGCGACGTGAGGACCAGGAGGATCTTCACTGTAAGTAGCAGTTGAGGGCTGTCTCCCACTCCACGGAATATATATTTTATAGGGAAGTATTATTATTGTTATCTGTTTCCAGCGGCCGACCTGGGGATTAAACCAGGGCTGGTGGGACTTCGGTATACGGAGCAAGGGCATGTAGTGGGGAACCAAGCCGGCTGCAGCCTGGCACTGGCCAAGCGTGGAGACTGTTGCCATATAGTTACCTGGGTGGCTGCTTGGCTGGCTATGGACATCTCCCACTGCTCGATGAGGGGATAAGCTCGCGGTCAGAGCTGCCCACTAAGAGGGGTTAGCAGGCGAGGGGTGGAAACCCCTGAGGAGGAGCACGGGGCACTCGGTGAAGCAGAGTTGCGTGTGGGAGAGAAGAGGTGTATAACCCCCCCCTGCCCCCCGAAGCTTCTGTGTGAGTCTCGGGAAGGCGTTAGGAACACAAGGTGTGACTGAATGTGTGTGGTGGTTTTCTGCTTATTCTTATTGGTTTTGTTTTTCTTCGTGGTAGCCTGCTACCAGGCTACAACTCCTCTGCTTGGGGTGGTTGGTCTCAGCTCGTGTATAAATACAAGCTGACATCCCTAACAGCCAGGTCTCTGAGTGGTCTTAACACCAGCTCAATGCAATACACCCCAACCGTCAGCCCTCCGTGGATAGGCAACGTGACAGGCATAACCACTTCAATTACACGGGAGCTGGATTCGGAGGGGTGAAAAGAAAAAAAATGCTCGCTTTTGTTTTTTTTCTTTATGTCAGGTGGGTTTTGGTCATATCCCTCTTCATCCCCTTGTAATCCCTTCCCCCTTAACAAAAAAAAGTTACAATTTCTCCCTTCGGTGGGACCCCCTTGTATAGTTTGGGGCAGCGATCCCGTTCAACCTGCGTTTCATAACCGGTTTGCGCTTATTTTGACGGCGTGTACGCGTGTCGCAACGTGATGTATTGGGGTCCGCACATTGCCTCAGTAAAAAAAATAAATATTAAAAAGTAAAAAGTGGGTAAGTCACACGCATGCGCCAAGAGCCTCCCTTAGGCCACATCCAAAAACTCACAGTGCATTTCCCTTGCCCCCGTTGGCCTTCGAGTTGCCCACACGGATCTCGGCTCCGAAGAGACGGAGCCCCTGAGTGTCATTGCGGTTGACGATGCCCACGCTCGAGACCATGTATGGGCGGTCGAGTTGCAGCCTCAGCCAGGGTTCCCACTCCTTGGCCGTCTGGCTGCACGATCCCAGGCAGAAGTTGACATTGTGCGATGAGTCGAGGACCAGCGAGGCCACCGAACGGGTGTTGGCGTTGCTCGACTGCTGCGCGCTTCCATAGATTACGGGGCCTGTGTGTATGTGTAGAGGGGAGAGCTGATGATGGGAATGTTGCTGCTGTGCGAGCAGAGTGAGCAACCGTGATAGAGGTTTCTTTGGGTTAGATCGCGTAAATATATAAATGTTTAGTTAAATACGGCACCACCAGACATACAGCCAATTGGTAAGGTTTATCATGTAAACAAAAGTACCAATTACTTATTAATTCAGCACACCTGTGCGTTGGAGAGTAAACCCACAACATTCACAATTCTAGCTACCGTGACGTTTCGCCGGCAATTACAACAGCCTCATCAGGCGACGGCCAGAATTGGGGAGAAATCCTCCTCCTGTTTCGGTCTTAAATAGCGGGGGAAATTTGATGTCGTCACTTATGAGCCAATCGGGTGCCAAGACCAGAAGGGGGAAAGGGGGGGGGGATTAATCTAGCCATATAAATTACAATGGACTGTAGTAGTCCAGAATGAATGCCTCATTCGAAGCCTCAACATCACACATCTCCTGGCATTATTCCCCCCTCCCCTGTCAAAGTGGCCGAGGGACTCATCAACCACATGAGAAGATCAACGGCTTGCATCTCCTTCATAAAAGTGAAATCAAAGACAAGTGACGTAGGACGATTGTGGCAGTGCAATCCAAACTATGGGCATGTATAGTAAACCCCACTGTGCTATGCGCTCCGAAACAGAGGAGGAACAGGAACACTACACAAACTCAATTTTGAAACTCTCGTGGCTAACAGATGTCGACATTGGCACTTAGCTCGTGAGTGCAATAAATACTGTAGACTCAATATTATCTGCGCTAATGATGGGGAGGACGGCTATGGATAAGTCAACATCGTGGATAATCCAACAAATATCAATTTTACGCGAAAATCTATGCCAAAAACCACTGATATAAGTAAAAATTATAGGATGAAGCACAACTAACGATTTCCATTATTACTCTTTCGATTTAGAACGAATACTGATGACCGACCAGCCGATCGATGTGCGTGCTTCGTGATAACTTTCCGCAGAAAATTACGTCCATTAAGTGAATAGCAGAGGCACACCAATCAAACTCCACCCACTGTTATAAAGATATGCAACGACTGTACTGTACTGTAACGGCGATCATGTGGTTTGGATTCACCGGATCACATGTTTGTCCAGTTTAAGCACGTGACTTGTAACACACATTTCCAAGAATAACAATGTATAACTGTTTTTAGATCATTAATTTGGAGCTTAACGGAAAATCCATGACTTATTAAAGTATTTCAAAATCTTAGGTGCGCGGTAAATTTGAAAATCGTATAAACCGCATGCAGATAATCGAGACTCTACTGTATAGATATAAATCATACAGGTCTGTAAATTGTGTAAAGAAACTATCAGGCAGTCCTGTGAAAAGTAAAACAAAATGCGAGAGTGAAGTGGCCGAGAGGTCTGTGCACTGGGCTCGAATGTAAGCAGCTGCCTGTAGTAAGAGGGGTTTCAAGCATAAGAAATCGTCGGTTTCAGCTCATCACCAATTTCTGCATTCACAAATGTCCTTGTTACTCTCCCATATACATCACGATTTGATGCTAAGCTGCTCATCCTTTATGATAACTTCACTTACAATTAAATTAGACATACATCCTTGACTGTTTCCATATTAGTACAATAACCAGTTGTTTAATATTTAAGGAACTTAAATGTAAATTTGCTATGATCAGTCTATAAATAATCTTCTCGAGCCGATTTTTACTCCAGGGAATGTATTAACTGTGCGAGGAGAATCTATCAATTGAGCAAGAAATCTGGGATTGCTTCACTAGGTAACCTCTCTGTTAGCCGTGTCTCCGTGTGGAGGAATGTGGATATTTACCATTATTTGGCTGGAGCGGAATTGTTGACACCTGGACCTCACACAGCTGCAGGTAGAGGAAGTTGTCCACCTTGGACACTATGTGTATGAAGCGCGCTGCCTGCCCACTGCAGTTGAAAGTCGTCGTGGTGTTCATCTTGGCATTACTCAGAGTCTGACAGCTGACAAACACACGAACATAAAATAAAAGACAAGCAGTTTCTGTATAATTTATTGTAATGTTCTTATCAGTAGCTAGTGAATAGGGCCGTCCATAAATGACGTCACGCGATTTTGGACGATTAACCCCCCCCCCCCTTCGTCACATGGCGTCACAAAAAGTCAGACCTCCCCTCAAATATGACGTCACAAAGCTCTGCCCCCCCCCCCCAAAATAAAACATGCTTCAAATCGCTTTAAACTATTGTCATTGTGGTGCGTATTTAATATGGCGCTGCACTCTGATGTTGCAGGAGAAAACATGTATTAAAAAGTCTATTTAATTAAGTAGAACGTGTTGTCTATATTTATTTAAAGTTGTGCATTTTGATGTGACGTCACATTTCTCAACCCCCCCCCCCTCGTCACACATCGTCACAAATGTCTGACCACCCCCCCCCCTAGGTGCGTGACGTCATTTATGGACGGCCCTTAAACCGTAGGGGTTGACAGGTATGTGGTATACAGGAGGTCGTGGGTTTGAATCCTGACGCATGATGTATATTTGGAATTTGCATGGACAGCCCCAATGTACAGCCCTTTTTATGAACCCTTTGCTGGATAGAGATCTCACCACGCCCTAAGGGGGCGCCAAGGTGGCGAGATGTTAATTTCCTTGCCTGGTATGCAGGAGGTCGTGGATTTGATCCCGACCCTGACGGCTGTATATTTGAAGTTTGCGTGTTCTATCTCCCCGTGGGTGCATAGATTTTTCTCAGAATTCTCCGATTTTTCCTCCATTATTTGAAAACAAGTGTTTAGAATATTTGGCTGCTATACTTTTGCACGTGATAAGCCACTTCTTTGAGTGATCATTTGTGGCCAGTCGTTTGACCATATTTCACTACGCTACTCATTGCGAGGTGGTGATGGGACAGAGTTTAAGGGACCAACACCAGTTAAGATATTACTCTCCACTTAGTGTTAACCTTGACTAATTATTAAACTTAGGCCGACAGGTTTATTGTGCTGTGTGTAACCACTGCCCTTAACAGTTAATCCAGTAGTCGATAAACAATGACTGATGACGACGATGATGATAACGACTATGAACGCACTCACAAAATGTTGTCGGCCGCACTGCTGTCACTCAAATTCCCAAGGAGCAGTTGGCACTGGTTCGTGAATTGATAGAGGTAGTTGCCACGGAAAGTGATCGTGACAGCATACACGGGCATCTTAACTTTGAGATCTAGGCTCCACCAGGGATGCGCCTCGAAGATAGTGCTCGTGCAAATCTCAGTAGAAGACGACATGTTCCCATCAATGGCCAAGGATGCGTTTGCAATCCGGTAAGGGTATGTGCTCGACTGCGTGGCCACTCCATACTGAGCAACATTTTCACCTGTAAAAGATGACACGAGGGACAGGCAAGAAGTGAGGTATACGTGCCTGCCTGCGACGAAGGCCTGTTACAAACATTGTATGGGTTATTCCATTTTCAATATTTCAATATCGCTGGCGCCCTGCCTGTCCAGTTCCTGCATCAGAGAGGGGGGGGGGGGGGGCTGGAGGCTCTCCTGGAACAGTGGGCAGAGGTTTCAGAAATACCCAGCAAAACAAATTTAAAAATGAGCAGGTGCAAGTCGTAGCCTCCAGTCCTCGAGATAAGAGAATATATATTCTTGAAAGGACTACGAGGTAATGCTATCTTAGAAGAGGAGATACCATCGTAGGAGGGGAGAGGCCATGTGCTGTGGGAGGCAGCTAGTGTGTGAGTCCAACCTGGAAAGTTGTCAGAAAAACCCAGGAGACCTGCTGCCTGGAGAAACTGACAACTTTGGAGATGTCGGTGAACCATTTGAGTTTGCCGCTCCTAATGAATTTGACCGGTGTAGACTGTGATGCTTTGTGCCTCGTCGTCAGCCTCGCACTTGCCTAGAACTGCCTGGGGGCCTCTACGGAGATTGGCTGTAGCTACTCCATGTAACCCGTGCCCACTCTATTTCTCGCTCTTTTTGGTATTGATCTTTATCGAGCGTATAGGGGTAGTTCCCATAAAATTAATTTTATTTTTTGTAGTTCTAAGTTCAACGATGCTGCTTCAAGTTCGACACAACCTGTGTTGGAGAGTGAGACTGGGGCTTTGCCCAGGCAGAGATCCAAATGTAACTTAATGAGTCTAAGTTCAACATCACACCCCTTGAAAAAGAGAGTGCGCCGTGCACTTTGCTCAAGCAGAGTTCACAGTGGCGATCGATGTGCGACCCATTTTCAGGTTACCAAGATCAGTGGTTTCGAAAAGACAGTCGTACTGTAGGCATCTGGGGGCGAACCATATTAGCGTTCAGTATCTGTGATTTCTGATAGTTAAATTTTTTGTTGCGTGTTTCGGTTCATTGGTTTTTGTTGCGTTTATTAAATTGTTTTGTGGTTGCCAAGTGAGGAGTGGCCTCCCTTTTGTGGGCTTGGGGTTCTCCTGAGAGGGGTGGTTCATCTTATGAGCCTGGTGAGCACACGGGCCCTCAATTGAGGGAAGAGTTATAGGGCTCAGATGGACCAGCCCTAACGCCTACCTCTCATCTAACACAACTCTCCTCCACGCACTCTGCTACCTCTTCTCTCATTCTACCCCCCCCCCCCAACACGTGCTCTGCTAGCTCTCCACTCTAATCTCAATTTACGCACCCTCTCTACACAGCAGTATCAATGGGTTAACCACAGTTAGTGTAACATTAGCATGGTGCGTGTGGTGGCGTAAATTGTAGATGTTCCCATCTCCAAGACGTTTGGCCAGTGTGGAAGAATAGATCAAATACCATTTGAAGGGGCTCTCCTGAGCTTCCTCTAAGGGGAGGCCATTTCACCAACCGTGGCATGAACAGGGCTGCAACTTAACCTTCACATCTATTTGACACCATTAGCGAGTGAAGATCTTTTTTGACACCATTAGCGAGTGAAGATCTTTTTTGACACCATTAGCGAGTGAAGATCTTTTTTGACACCATTAGCGAGTGAAGATCTTTTTTGACACCATTAGCGAGTGAAGATCTTTTTTGACACCATTAGCGAGTGAAGATCTTTTTTGACACCATTAGCGAGTGAAGATATTTTTTGACACCATTAGCGAGTGAAGATCTTTTTTGACACCATTAACGAGTGAAGATCTTTTTTGACACCATTAGCGAGTGAAGATCTTTTTTGACACCATTAGCGAGTGAAGATCTTTTTTGACACCATTAGCGAGTGAAGATCTTTTTTGACACCATTAGCGAGTGAAGCTCTTTTTTGACACCATTAGCGAGTGAAGATCTTTTTTGACACAATTAGCGTGTGAAGTTATTTTTTGACACCATTAGCGAGTGAAGATCTTTTTTGACACCATTAGCGAGTGAAGATCTTTTTTGACACCATTAGCGAGTGAAGATCTTTTTTGACACCATTAGCGAGTGAAGATCTTTTTTGACACCATTAGCGAGGTACGTTATCGTTATTTGTGACACCACGAGCGAGTTAAGTTCTTTGAATTTCAGCCCTCTTCCTGCACCAGGATGTGCGGCCAATGTATTTTAAGGGGTGTTTTGTTTACCAATAAAATAACGTCTAATTATCACGCGCTGTATAGTATTCGCTCACTCTTGCAGAGAGTGAGAGGGCGACTCAGACGCCAGGAAGAACTACAGACGAGCGGGAAGATAAGTCACCCATTGAGTCAGTGCCAACAATAGCCCAATATCTGCGGTCTTCTATACATGAAGTGGTTATCTGCTAATCAATGAGTATTTTACATGTGGGAAGAAACCGGATCATCAGAGCGAATGGGCAACACTCTATCCCATATAGACGGAACCAGTGGAGTCTACATATTCGCTGTACTGCCTTCTGGCGAGCCAGGGTATGGCTCGTCCTCGACGTCCACGGGAAGGGAGTTTTACAACCCTTGCGCGATCCATCAACCAATTGCTGCCTCCTATACAGTGCTAGATGAGACCACGTGTGGTATAACCGCCGCCACCACCACCCAGCTAAGGTCGAAGCCGTAGCCCAATGGTTCTTGCGCAGCTATGCTTTAAGTATCCTCGTTAGATTCTCGGCCAGGGATAATACTGTATCAGCAATGACTTGCATCTGAACTGGCCCAAGATCTCCCATCTCTTTGTTGAAGAGTTCCCGACGATTCGGAGACGAAGGTAAGGTTAAGGGCTTCTGCCCTTAACCTTACCTTTTTTATTCAAGCTATTCAATAACACGACGGTGTAACAACTTCCCAGGGGTTAGGGGTCCCGGGCTACGTCCCATTAGCCCCAGTCACAGCCGGCTGCCCTGTGCTGCCTCCTCTGCACCAGCCGTGGGTTCAGCCAACCCGGCCGACCAAGGAGCGCGGTCACCTCCAGCCCTGTACGCTGTGCTATCCCCTACTCCTACCTTCTTGCCCCTGGCTCCCCCCGTTCCACCCTACTCCGAGCCCCGGCTCCAGCAACGACCCCGCCTATGTCACGGGATTCCCCTTTTTTCATACTAGAGGAGACGTGACGTCATCGAGCCGCCCAGCGCGCATGACGTCACGTTTCGTGACGCGATCGCACTGGACGGCACACCTGACGTCACGTTCCCATTTAACTCCTCTACATCTTCACAAGCTCACACTAGCCAGTGTGGTAAAGTACAACACTGGCACTGCGTGGGATGACCTTCATCAAACAATAGGCTGACTAGGGGATGGAACTGATATCAATGATGTGGAAGGAAACAAATACCTGGAGAGACTCCCACACCCCCCGAGGATTAGAGGGGATAACACTCGAAGGTCCACTCTGATAGCGCCACATCCCACTTGCGGTGTTGCCATCTCGTGTACCTATCGCAACCCAGTGGATTTTCAAATTCCACCACACATCCGTAATGCACGGACTCTCACTCTGTGTCAAATCGCTGGATCACACACTTGCGCACCACGGATACAGAGCCACTACATCCGTGCTACGTGAAGCACACAACAAGGATTGTTTTGGCCTAGTCCCCCAGTCAACCTTCACTCGGTGGGAGATCGCTCACTCTCCTCTGCAGCCCCTATGGTGTGGAATTCATCTCCCCCAGCCTTCCGTGCTGTCCATTGGGGCCTGTTACCTGGCCCAATGACTCGTGTCCAACAGGCCCCCCTGGTTATTACTGCGGTGTGCAATAAGTGAAACATACTACACTTCACACTGGACGTTAAAGATCCCGCGACGTCATTCGCATTGAGTAGGCTATTGTGCCAGCGTCATGGCCTAAATTTGCAATGTTTGAAAAAATTACTCTGAAAAATTGTTCAATTGCGCTCACACACAGCAACATTGCCCCAGACTGTGAATACTTGGCAGGTCCTAACCTGAGAGAATCTAAGAGACTCAGTGAGGCTTCTCCTGGGAAAATAAGTGGAATTAAATGCAGACACGCATTCCCTGTCTGGGTTCAAATCCAGGCTCAAGTCTGTTCTCTCTTCCAGTGCCTATGAATATAAACGAAGCATGCGCCATTTTGCATTGCGCCTTGGGATTTGGTCACATTGATACAGCAATTACCCTGGTTTACATCGGAGATGCGTTCCTGAAAGGTGCGACGACGAATACCGAAACTAAGTAAATTAATGCGATTTACCAGGTACTAGGGGGTGGAGGCGAAGGCTGAGAGGCGAAGGCTACGAGAATTGGAGGGCGCAGTCAGCGACGTAAGTGTGGGGTTGAAGCAACGCTAATTGGGTAGTGGTGTTCATCAAGTGACGACGTATTTTGCAAAACGACTTTAAAAGGGGGGAAACGTCCATCGGGGTATTACTGTATGTAGATCCACATTGTGTCGTGCTCTATACTCACGTATCACATTGTATGCTTGTACGGACAACGCTGCGAAGGCAACCAGGGAGGTGATCAGAACTATCGCCCGCATGTCCCTGTGGAATACATGGATCATTTAAAGTTAATCAGAACCGCTATCAGCAGCCAAAATCTATCCACTGCTGGATGATGGCTTCTCCAAGTCGTTCGCCGTCTCTCACAGGTCTTGCAATGCAATGATCCATCTGAACGACTGCAAGCCAGCTGATTTCATCTCTCCATCTGTGTGGTCAACGTCCGCTCGAGTGTGTTCCTTCTTAATCTGCTCTTCTATCTCTAGCCTTGTCTATCAGCGTGTCTTGCCCAAGCCCACTCGCTTATCTTAACATCGAATATAACAATACATTTTAAAAAACCTCGCTGACATCCCTCTGCATGAGGCCGTTATTGTGCCATTTATTTACCCAGAGAAGTCTCACCGAGTGTTAGAGTACTGCGCTATGAATCCAGGGTGACCCAAGTGCGATTTTCGCTCATGGCCAACACCACTGACGATATTACTGGTAGGAAACGTCGTGGACTGGAAGCCCAACCGGGATGAATTCACAGGAGGCAGGGGATTAATCGTGTATGTCTGTGGATGTCTGTCCACGTGGGAAGGGTGGGGCTGGGTGGAGAGGGGAGGGTGGGGGGGGGGCTGGGTGGGGAGGGGCTGGGTGGGGAGGGGAGGGTGGGGAGGGGCTGGGTGGGGAGTGGGAGGGGTGGGGCTGGGTGGGGTGGGGCTGGGTGGGGAGGGGCTGGTCACACCGTGGTGCCCTTATAAAACTCAACGTTTAACCTACTCACGCCGGCTTGTGCCCGCCCTCACACTCGGGCATATTTGCGGAATACACCACGTGGTGGTGCCGCCGTTGACCCTGGCCATTGACCGAGCAACCCAACGTTCGTACCAGCTCCCTCCGCAGGAATGTGTGTTTTTAAACCAGTCCTGGGCCTCCCCTAGGTCGATGCAGCTTCAAATGAGTACCTGGTACGGTGTTTGAACGTCACAACTGTGGAGACAAAGGCGGCCAGGGGTGGTGTTGGCCACCCACCCCGTTTCGTGCCATGCCGGTCTTCATAGGTGCTCGCTGACAGCACTTGCACATTTAATTCCTGTCTTAAAGCTCCACCTCTTCTCAATCGCACATTCCCTTTCCTTTGCCCTTCCACTCCTGACCGTCCCTCCCCTATAGCCCTTTCGTGTTCCATGAGTACCCCTCTATCGCTGTCACTGATTTTTATCAATCCTAATTTCACGCCCCTGTAAACTAAACCATTCCATTCTGTCGCCGTTTTGTGTGAAGGCACTCTCTATAAATACAAATTATATTATATCAGAGATATTTGGCCACCGATGTCATTGATGCATTAAAGTGGGAACCCGGAGTAGTGGTGGTGCTGGGCATGAAGAAACTAAGCATGAGCTGAAGGTCTCCAGCATCTCAAGACTTTCCCACATTCATAAATAATAATTTAATCATAATTTAATCAACAGGCATGCATGGGCTTTCACCTCGAAATGCTGCTATCATCCTGGATGCGGTGGTTGAGTTATCTGTGCAGAAAAAGCCCAGGAGCCTACTGCAAGTGAAGCTTGTGGTTTTCATGGCCGAGATGCTGAAGGATTTTCACGAAGAGTTGTTGAGCAGAAGCAAGAAATCGGCACCGGTTCGAGAGAGGCTTCATGTCTTCCGTGACAAGTAAGACGCTTTTGGCATCCTCTGGTCTCACACCGTTTGAGACGAGGCTCAAAAGAAAGCTGTCTCTGGTGTGGACCAATCAGTTTCAAGTACAATGCATATATTATCAGAGTATATTTTGGTTGCATTCTGACCATAAGCATTGTGGTTAATGCGGACATGATTCCTTGTAAAAGGTTTCAGTTTGGTGTTTTAACATCTTAACATCTGTTTTGTTGCAGGAAAAAATGGGAAAAATCTATTATCAATAAACAAAAAAGTTGGTCAACTGAATTTTATCTCCAATTCGAATCCGAATAAATATAAAACGTGAATTATCCTCAACATTAATTAACATCTGAAATTCTGAATGCATCCCAGAGTATGTCTACCAAGGAGATGGAGCGACGAAATACATTTGTGTGCCGGCATGAAGCCGGCTTGAGGAGCCCTTTGTCTAGCAGTGGATCGACCATGGCTGGTCATGACGAACATCAAATGAAGCAAAAGTTTATCTTGTCTGCAGCTCTCTTCTCATCCAATGCCATCTCTGTCTCTGGTCTCCATCCCATCTGTCTTCTCGCTGTAAGTTTATGACACAGAGAAATAACCCTTGCATGTGTAGAGGTGTTACGGGAGGGTGACACGCGGTTGTATAACGGTGGCCACAAACACGTCCGCAACGGCCACCACCCTGGGGGGCTGTGGGGGATGCTGTGATCCCTCCCAGCCCCACCCCTCAGTGAGGGACAGTATAAAAGGTGGGACCCGGGGAGCTGGGAGGGAGTTCGACTCAAGCAAGATGAAGAGCCAGTGAAAAAAGATCGACTAGCCAGACCCTGGAACTCCTTTGGCCCGCTGTCCTTTTGAGGGCCGGGCAAAGCAAGCCAGGGTGCGACACCAGAGCCGCGAGGCCCGATGTCCTTCTGAGGGCCGGACTCGTGTGGCTGGTGATCGGGACCTGCGCCGAAGCCGGGCCAGGTCAGATAGTCTCCTGAGAGAGGACCAGGATAGAGGAACCAGGGAGCTGGCGTGGGCTAAAGCTCGGGGAACGTTCCCTCTATAGCGTACGGGTGAAGAGGCCGTTACCTCTTCAAGTATCAGATTCGCCACTGTAATTGAAGCGTCTGTAATAAATACGTGTTGCCTCAAGTGAACAGTCTCCGACGTCAATAAGGCCACTACACATGTGTAGTGGCACTGGGTGTGATGCACGAATGCCACTGCTTTCTGGATGTAGTGCCAGCCCCGGGATAACAGGGGGCAGAAGAATGCTCGGATCGAGTTGGACTGTGGCACGCAGGTTGATCCCGGGGAGACTCGTGACCGGCGGTATGGACCCCAGGACCCCCAAGAGAGGGGTTGGAGGGGTGACGTGTCCACAGCCCAGGTCCTTCTCGAAGGTTCGAGAAGAACGGCATGGCTAGGGGCAGAGAGAGCCGGGACTGACTATATAAGCCTGAACGTGTCCGGCTGCTGTGGTACACTGGAAGACCCGAAGCTGCCACCTAAAGACCTGGAGCAGTCACCCTGAAGAGCAGCCCGAAGACAGGACCCGGACCCGAGCTGGGGTCGGGTCGGAGTTAGCCTCCCCAGTGTGTTAGGGCACGTTAGCCCAGAGGATATACAGCATTAGAGTATCGGGTGGAGTGGGCTGTTACCCCTTCGTGTTAAGGGTTATTATTGTTATAATATACGTGTTGCCTCCAGTGAAGTCTCACTCTCCCTTTCTACCCACTACACATGCGGTAGGATTGACACTCAGTGCCACCATCACCTAGCCAAGCTCATCAGCCCCCACCAGGGCTCCTGGCCAGCCCTGTGGCGGTCACCCATACGGAAACTCGCCAGGTTTATCCCTGCATAGGCTCAGATACACAGCGTGCGGTCGCTCTCGTAGACAGAGAGTGAGAGGGGACGACTCAGAGGCGCCGGGAGGAACCACAGATGAGCCGGAAGGCAGCAGCAGCAGCCACCCGGTGAGCCAGCACCAAAGATTGCCCGAGCTCTGCCGTCTTCTCTATATGTGAAGGTGTTATCGGCCAATGAATGGGTGCTTCACATGTGGGAGAAAACCGAAGCACCCAGCAAAAACCCATGCGGGTGAAGGGGAAACACTTCATCCTATTTAGACAGCTACAGGGACTCTTCTACTTAAGAACATTCGACTTACAAACTTTCAGAGATACGAACACACTTGTCCGTATGTCCAATTGCATGTTCAGACCGAGAGTCGTAAGTTCAACCGCCGTGCAATAGATGGCAGTGGTGGCATCAACATTTGCAGAACATGAAGAACCAGTGGAATCTGCGTCTACGGGAGATTATACAACTTGTAAAGCCATTCCCTATGTTTCGTGTAAATGCTATACAACATGTTTGGAATCGACAGGAGTAAAGTTGGACGTAACGAATCGACTTGCGAACAGACCTGAATCCAAGCTTGTTCGTGAGTAGAGGAGTCACTGCACTGCTTTCTCCTGGCGAGCCAGAGTATGGTACCCGCTCGGCGCACACGGGAAGGGAGTTTCGGAAAATCTATGTGTGATCCACCAACCCTGGCTGCCTCCCACAGTGCGGGATTGCTGGCGTGTACCACCAGTTGATGGTGAACGCACGTTAGTCTATGACATAACGCAGTAGTTACCAGGGCGGCCTAGCGGATTAAATCTGTGAACATCTACGAGAAAAGACGCAAGCACCACTACCATTTGGACGTATCAGCGCCTCTAAGCGCGCTCTAATCTGCCACACATACACACACTGTGCTGCATAGCACCGTGCATACAACACACAGAACACGCATACAACTGCCGTTCAGTGATAAGAGGCGATGGCGTCACCACACCACTTGTGCCAGGATAGGTGCACTTTGAGGCCACGTGATGTTTCGAAGCCCGCTGGCAGGGGGTCATGGAACAGACCCTGCAGGTGCCACGGGTTGACTGATTGAGATGACTGGCAAATGCACCAACTGTGCTCCCCACTATGCCAACTTTCTGCGTTTTAACCGCCCAGTGCTCCCCTCGTTTTTATGAGCGTCGCTCCTCTGCTCTCTGTTGTTGCTGGAGGGAAATACAATACACAGAACGTACACACATACAATATACTGTGCATCTTAACACCTTTATTGTTGCTGGAAAGAGCCTATTCGTTTTTCATCTTGATAACGGAAAAAGGGGCCCCATAGATACGATACAGTCCATACGTACACACACACACATATAGAACCTGCAAACATATAATCACAAAATATGCAGCACATAAATGTAATATATATGCAATATACATAGAGCTCATACACAAGCTTAAAATACGTATATAGTCCATACAATAAAATACCATATTTAGCATCGGTGTCCGTCACCTGTGCTCCAATGACAAAATGTGTACAACATGCAATACAGTATACTGTATTTTGATTGAAAGCTTTCGTGACTGCAGGGATTCATATTCTTGGTTCTTTCGGTAAAGTCACGTAGAAGGGAAACAATAAAATAATACAAATATAAAACAATAAAATTCTCACGACGTTTCTACCTGACTTTACCGAAAGAACCAAGAATAAGTATACTGTATTTTTCGCCTTTTGGCGTTCTCTGTTCTAAAACTGGTGAGACAAGGCCAGAAAAGGGCTGTCTCTGGTGTAGGTCAATCGGTTTCAAGAACAATGCATACATTACAATCAGAGCATGTGTATTTGCATGTTTTGCCCCAAGTATGTGTGGTTCATGCAGACTTTATTCCTTGCAAAAGGTATCTATTTGATGTTGGAACATCTTAACACCTCCTGTTTTATTGCCAGAAAGGGTAACATCTATTCTTATTTTTACCGTATACAGAGCATACGGCCACTACTCCCGAAACGTGCCATTTGGCAGACTGCTGAAAGGCCAAACATAACATAGCCCACATATACAATATATTTTAGAACACGCATGCTATATATAGCACACACGATACGGAGCAGACCCGTATAACGTATAGAGCATACGTGCTATACATAACGTACGATGTATATAGATCCTATACACAATGCTTAAAACACATAGACAAATTTCGATTTAAAGCTTTCGTGACTGCAATGATTCATCTTCTTTGGTTCTTTCGGTAAAGTCACGTAGAATGAGAATAAAATAATAAATAACACAATAAAATTCTCACGACGTTTCGGCCACAACACAAGCGGCCTTCATCAGGTGAAGGGACGAGACTGTCTGGTAGGACAGCGCTGGAGTGAAAAAGCCACGTTCAGATCACGACCTTTAAGCTGTGTGAGAGGAAACAAAGCGCCCTAAACTTTAGCAACACGGATAGTTGAGGGCGCTTTGTTTCCTCTCACACAGCTTAAAGGTCGTGATCTGAACGTGGCTTTTTCACTCCAGCGCTGTCCTACCAGACAGTCTCGTCCCTTCACCTGATGAAGGCCGCTTGTGTTGTGGCCGAAACGTCGTGAGAATATTATTGTGTTATTTTATCAATTTATTATTTTATTCTCATTCTACGTGACTTTACCGAAAGAACCAAAGAAGACACATAGACAAGCATAGCGATGAAGTGCAATGCATAGAAAAAAAAACCAAAGATCCCCCATAACGGATGACCAGACAGTTGGGGCAAGTGCTGTTAGCGAGCACCGATGAAGGCCGACACGGTACACGAGGGGGTGAGTGGCCAGCACCACGCTCGACCGTCTTTGTCTCTTTAGTGGCGATGTTTACACATCGCAGTAGATATAGTATTCATTTGAGGCTACACTACCACTCCCCACTATGCATAGCACACGCACGCATACATACATACAAGCTCGCTCACATCTCGGAGGTGAAAACCGTCCCGATCTCCGATGAAATTGCGAGCTTTCGTGAGCGCCTTCACTGTTATATAGAAACTCGAGACGCGTATTCAGTTGTGTTCATCCAGTGGAGATGTTAGCATTGGCTGCCACTTTTATGAAATGCTCACCCAAGAGGGGTGTGCAAGGTACGAAATGTAACACTCGGATCATTTCCATTGAATGTCATCAAACAGTTCGTTGAGTCACGCATGAGTAAAGGGACACCAGTAACCATGTGAGGAAATAACAGGAGTCGGGTTAATAATACGGCAAAACGAATTGGCAAGGAAAGCGTCATTGGGTCTCGTTATTTCATTTTACAAGAGGGTCCGGAATTGTAATGTTTGGTAAATTTCCATTCAGTGGACTTAATTTACAACTGCAGATGCCAGTCGGAGGCACGCAACTGGGAAACACAGACCCCGCACCTCCAATTAGCACGGTTGGCTACGTGCGGTTCGAAAGTTGTTCAACACACATGTAGTGAGTTCAACTGAGTCACAGACGTACTCTTGTAGGCAACACAACACCAACACACGGGGTAACTGCCCCTTTACAGATTAACAATCTATGGTGGTGACCACCAGGCTAACTACACGAATTACAATGTAACTAGCTACAATGGACCGGACCACAGCTCGGGTCCAGCTCCACGTGTTGGAGACTCGGGAGAACATAGGAGGTAGACGAAGGATTCTTCAAGATGAACAACAACGCCGGTCCCTCTGGGGGACCCGGCTTATATTCTCTGCAGCATTGCTGGCTCCGCCCTTGGCCACGACCACCTTCTAAGATTCTCGAGCAGGATCTCGACCCGGACCACGTGACCACCCCTAGCCCCCACTTGGGGCCCCTTTGAAGACTTCACCGGTCATGTGTCCTCTTGGGTCAACCAGAGTGCCATGGCATTTAGTAACCCCGGCACACCCACATCCTATCATGTAGGGCTGGCACTGCACGCCAAGCATGCTGCCACCTAGCGCTATCAACCAGTACTCACCAAGCCCCTCTAGGGCCAATACTACACCCACATCATTGTGGTGTCCGCGATGTCGTTACATTGCCGGCACAGCACAGTGACATCCCGCGATGTCACTACACATGTAAAAAAGCCTATTGGAGACATCCATTTTTGTAGAAATAGAGCTTCATTTCGAACTTAACGTCCTTAAAGTTCCGAGTGTAACAAGCGCCACACTCGTAATTACTACGGCTATCTCCCCCCCCCCCCCCCCCCCAATGGTTTCCACCAAGTTGGTTCTCGAACAGTCAGCCCCGATGGTTTCCACCAAGTTGATATCGAACAGTCGGTCCCGATGTCGTCCACCTATGATCGTCGATTAGTCCCCCAGCAAACTCCCCGATTGCGGGCATCGCTCCCCCTTATGTACTCGCTCGGCCCCGCACCGATCTGACAGTGGCCCCCCGACATCAATATAACACGTGTGTCCTTTATTGAATCATAATTATAGTGCCTTCCGGTCACCTGCTTCCAATTGTCTAAACGTGTGCCTTCTAGCAATTTGTAAAGTCCCCTACACCACCCCCAAAAGAAAAACATAGCCATCTCGGCTATACAATAGGGGATTGAACACATGTGGGCTGTGGGATCTCTACAAGGGAATTTTCCCTGCGCACATGGGATGAATAACATTTTCACTTCTAGGTCACCGCATAACATAGACCCTTGAAGCAAGGGTGGGAAGGTGTTATGACCAAAATTTACCACTGCATACTGCATGTATGGTCAACTAAGCTAACCTTGTTAAGGGGGGACATTTCAACACAAAGCCATACACAACCAAATGGTACTCTCACATTTACGCTCCTCCCCAGAGCTTTCTTGGATGACCTCGTCGGCCTCTTCCATCCTGCTGATCTTCATTGTGATCGTTCCTGAGAAGAGGGGAAGACAGTGTGGGAGCAGTATTTTCCAGAGGAGGATGCCTTTTTCTCTGACTTTCATCACGACACCCCTGGATGTGGCCTTTCTGAACCTAAATAACACCTTGTGTCGGTGGTTCCTTATATGGTTTTAAACGGCTTGGATGGACCACCACCCATCGCTGGCGTCCCATTTGGTGAACATGGACAATCTCTACAGGACCCTGCCAGAGATGGTGCAGCTTAGCTGACGTGCCCACCCGGACCTGGGGACAGTGTAACCAGGCCCGATTCCCCTGCTCAAATGGCACTGGCGTTTGTCTTTTTTCGCATGTGCTCGTTTGCTGCTTGCGATCTGCCAAACTCCGCTATCGCGGGCGGGCGGGTGAGGAAGCGGGCGGGCGGGTGAGCGGGCGGAGACACAGGAGGCAACTAATCGCTGGTGAGTGATTGATTTATGAGAATGAGATAACGGGTGGTTCAGAGTTCTGAGTTGTGTAGCAAACCTATGGTCTCAGTCCAATAACTAATGACTGCACGTCAGAAAGAAAATTATGTGTTTGACTATCAAGTGATGAACATTATTCTCTGTGGCAGAACCTATGGGCAAGTGTGGGGTCACTTGAACCACGCAACTAGGCAATTGGAGGAAGTTACCCTCCAACAACAACGGAGGGCAGATTAGTGACACTCGCAACAATGAGCGAAGCGCCGGGCGGCAAAATTGCAGCACGTTGGCACAGTAGGGGGTACAACTGGTGCATCTGCCAGTCATCTGGCAGCATCTGTCCCGTGACCTCCTATCAGAGAGCCTTCGAGGCTTCAGGTGGCCTCAAAGTGCACCTTGCCTGGCACAGGCGCCGTGGTGATGTCATCATCACTTTGTGGCGAATGGCGGTTATTGGTTTTGGGTTACCTTGAAGGTGGGATCTCAAAGGTAGTTCTGTAAGATCCGCTTGCGTGGGCCACTCTACTCACACGAAGTTGGTGCAGCGCTCCGCGAGACTCCCACATGGAGAGGTATTCTTATGACGACCCCGATAGCCCAACCTGGGTGAAGAAATATGACGATGGGCTGACGGGTACCACACAGCACCACGGCAAGTGGTTCAGCCCCTCTGTCAATCCACTGGTGGATGAAGGTCTTTCCCACGCCGTGTCAGGCATGGGGTTTCTTTGACCATAATTCACCAGTATTTGTGAGTGCTTTGGGGATGGATTGAGGTGGGGGGGTGGGCATGACCAGTTCAGTTATAAATACGCCACCGCTCAGCCCCGATATCGAATGATCTTACTTCTGGTTGGCACGAGGCATGACGATTAAATAGTTGAATTTGTTGACTTTGCAAATCGACGCCGCAGCAGAAGCAGCAGCAGCTGCCGTTTGCGTGCATTGTTTGGGGAGGAATACACGCGCGGGAGACGTCACATTGTATTGTTCGTAGTGGTGGTGGTGACGGCGTCTGAACAGTGGGCAAAGGAGCACTCCCTGCACAAAGACACAGAACTAACTCCCTGTATAGTCCTTAGACTGTTGGAGCAAAATGCTGTTAGCGAGCACCTATGACGGGGTGGGTGACCAGTACCACGCTCGGCCGCCTTTGTCTCCCGAGTGGCAATGTTTATACACCTCACCAGGTATTCATTTTGAGGCCGAGTCGACCTGGTAGAGGCCCCGGACTGGTTCAGGAACTCACTGACATGCATACGCTTCGCCTACAACTTGCATAACCTCCGTCCGTTCCTCTCTTAAAGCCTCGCCTCTTCTCCATCGCCCATCCCCTTCCTCTTCCATTCCATCGCCCCTCCACTCCGTCCCGTCCCTCCCCTATAGCCCTTTCGTGACCCACCACGGGACCTCAGTTACGGGAACTCATTCATCGGCCCTTGCATGTAAATGCCATAATCTAAATCACTTGGTTTTTATGCCCGCTTGAAACTGCGTAAAGCGGCTTGAGCTAAGGCGCTTTATTAACATAACATAAGATCGCCGTTGTCGTCAGCCATGGTCGATCCACTGCTGTATGAAGGCCTCCCTATGCTGTTGCTAGATGTCATGTGGAGATCGACTGATAACAATCGAGTAACGGTGGCTAACTGGCGTCTCACAAGCCGCATGAGGCTCTTTAATCCACCACATGCGGCTCTACCAAAGGAGCATGAAGTAGAAGATACTCCTATCACAGTCGCAAAAATAATTAAAGTTGTATGATATCCGTACTATAATAATAAAAAACTTGGCTCTTTGCAGAACTCACGCCTACTTTGTGGCTCTTGGTCTGTTACAGGTTGGCCAGCCCTGCTATGAGAGCCTCTGGAAACTCATCTTGCAGGATTTTTAGCAGCTGCGCCCAACGGATTTAATCTCGGATGCGTGATATTCCTTTTGGGTTGTTAGCCTTGACCATTGGGTCATCATCCCGTCCTGACCAAGCCAACTCGGTTTCATTATGTCACTCGGTTTCATTAGCTCTCTCATGATGTTAACCTGCGATAATTCTCCAAGTCACGTGCTCCTTTCCTCTGCCTCTCATCATACATTCCCAGCGTGCATTTCCACGCTTCTTTATTTACGCGCGGGTCAGTTATTGTTCTGGATTTTTCGCGAATGACCACCGTGTTTCTGCACCGCGTGGAGAATGGTAGTGCAGCAGTTAGAGCAGCTGCGCTATAAACCCGGCCACCCGAGTTCGATTCCTGCTCACGGCCAACACCAGTGACGATTATCTAAACCGGTTCTGGGCCTCACCTAGGTCGAAACCGCCTCAAATTAGTATACAATATCTACTACGATGTGTAAACATCGCCGCTTGGTAGACAAAGGCGGTCGAGCGTGGTGCTGGCCACCCACCCCCTCGTGTGCCTTTCCGGCCGTAATAGGTGCTCGCTCACAGCACTTGCCCCTATAGTATGTTAAGGCTATACGGGGGAAATTGTCTTTGTACGTACCTCGATCAATCACCCCGATTAAAATACAAAACAACAACTGAATGAGTCGCGGCATACAAAGGAACAAAACTACATTTGTAATCTCACGCGTGCTTTTAGCAATTATGGTTCCACGGTAGGGCATCCTTTGTTTATTGTGGTAAACACATTCTCTTATTTCGTACGGAGAGCTATTGCAAATAGCATCTGGCAAATCATCCAGCGGCGTCTGTTTATTTAACAAGCCTGTTCCCGCCCCTTCCCAACTCCCCCTAGTTTCTAGATCCGCCTCTCAGTCTGACAGTGCTGATGAAACACAGATGGTTGAAACTAGTTCCAGGTTTCGCTTGCTAAATTTAATGCTGATTGATAAACGTTTGCCTGGAAAGCCAATCGGCTGATCGACCAAAACAGAATCTTTTCGATTTAAAGCTTTCGTGACTGCAAGGATTCATCTTCTTTGGTTATTTTGGTAAAGTCACGTAGAATGAGAATAAAATAATTCTCACGACGTTTCGGCCACAACACAAGTAGCCTTCTTCAGGTGAAAGAACAGAACTGTCGGGATGACAGTGCTTCAATGAGCGCTGCTAAGATTCGTAGCGTCTTTTAAGCTTGGTGAGAGGCGTGAAGCGCCTTGAAAAAGGAGTTTACATATCAAAGCAGGAGAATTTAGCATTGAAATAGCTGAGGGATTAGCTTGTGACAGAAATAGCTATGTTAAAGTCAAAGTTTACATATTAACAGAGGCATTTAGTATGTGGACGCTAAAGGCCTCCAACTACCCAACTATCATACAGTAAACCGATGTGAAAAAAACTAAGTCTATATTACATCAATATGATAAATGTACTTAATATATTCTTCAAGAAGCTGAGCTATTAATCACAAAGCAACTGTGTATACACTACACTATATAATGAAAAACATAGTAAACCAATAAAAAACTAAAATATAAACTACCTCAATGTTATCAAAAAACTCTATATACTCTCCAATCAGCTGAGCCACACAACAATAAGTCGTTATACATCACAATGCCATATGGCGAAAAATGGCGGTTTTCTTCCCTCAACGCCAGCACCACGGACAGCGAACGAGCCCCGTTCAGACGGACGAGTCAATCCATGCTCGGAACGGAGGAGGTAGGAGAGAAACAGCCACAATGCGCTGTTATACTCCATGTTAAAAACCATACCATTAACCGTGGAGTGAGAGGTATTAAGAGGTAATGCCAGTGAAAGAGCTGCGGTCTGACGGTCACCGTAAAATACAATTAATTAAGAACCGAAATGGTTTAAAACATCTTTCCAATGGTTACTAAGCCAGAATCCATCTTCTCGGTTGAAATTGTCTCTGTGCTTGTATATGTAGATGGCCTCATGAACGAACCTCTCATGGTAGCCGGTTGGCTTGCAAAGAACCTCCGTCTAGGAGAAGTCGATGTCATGTGAATCCACTGAATTATAACAGTGATCTGCCACGGCAGAAGAGTTCGTCCTACCATGTTTCAAGTCTGCTTTATGTTCGCGGATGCGGTCTGAGATATGTCGTTTGGTTTCTCCAATGTAGTTGCTACCACAGAAGCACTTTAGTTTGTAAACGCCTGGGTACTGTATGTCTGGAACAGCATCTTTTACAGATGGAACCAGATCACGGATTTTATGTACTGTGTTGAATCGGATCTGGATCTTGTGTTTATTCAGGATTTTGGAGATCTTTTTAGTGACCCCTGCAATGTAGGGTAAGGTGATGGTTTTGAGTGGCTCCTCAAGAGGATCCTTCTTCATGACTGGAGTGATGGCTTTGCGGATTGTGTAGTCGGAGTAACCATTAGCCCTGAGAGCCTGGTGTACGTGCTTGAGTTCACTGGCAATATGTTCCTGGTCAGAAATGCATTGGGCTCTATGGTATAGAGTCTTGATGAGGGAGTTCTTCTGGGATGGATGGTGGTGGGATTCAGGTTTCAAGTAAGCATCTGTATGGGTAGCTTTTCTGTATACAGAGTGGCTCATTGAACCATCAGGTCTCCTTTTAATTAAAACATCCAAAAAGGGTAGCTTGCCATCTTTTTCGACCTCCATGGTAAATCTGATGGCTGAGTGTATGGAATTGATGTGGTCGAGAAATTGGTCTAGAGCAAGCTGGCCATGTGGCCAGATGACAAAAGTGTCATCCACGTACCTCTTCCATAAGGTCGGGCGTAGAGTGGCAGTCTGGATGGCGTCAGTTTCAAAATTTTCCATGAAAACGTTGGCTACAACCGGAGACAGGGGGGAGCCCATTGGGGTGCCCTCAGTCTGTTTGTAGAAAGTTCCATTCCAGGTGAAGTATGTGTTGGTTAAGCAATGTCTCACCAGGGGGGTACATCAGTATGCAGTCCTTGATGAACCAAGTCTTCAATGATTGCGATGGTGTCAGGTACCGGAACTTTGGTGAATAAGGACACCCCATTAAAACTGACAAGCAGGTCGTCTGGGGACAGGGAAATGCCTTTGATTGTTGATACCAGGTGAATAGAATTTAGTATCGCAGAGGTGGTTTTGCCAGTGAAAGGTCGCAGTATATCAGCCAGAAAACGTCCCAGTTTGTAGGTGGGGGAGTTGAAGACTTGGTTCATTAAGGACTGCATACTGATATACCCCCTCTGGTGAGACATTGCTTAACCAACACATACTTCACCTGGAATGGAACTTTCTACAAACAGACTGAGGGCACCCCAATGGGCTCCCCCCTGTATCCGGTTGTAGCCAACGTATTCATGGAACAATTTGAAACTGACGCCATCCAGACTGCCACTCCACACAACCTTAAGATCATTCAACAGACTCCGGGACAAGAAGGCTCAACTAATCGAGTCTCTCACCTTTCTGAAGAGATGCCGCGACTCTAAGGTAATACCAACCGCATTTAATGTCCGTTTTAAATGTGGAAAGAGATGGCAGAATGGAGCTGCCAAGACACGAAACTGGGTGGTTCGAAAACGTACTTTGGGGCAGCAGCTGCGTTAAATGCTTTTGATTCAAATCGTGTGCGAAATGTGGGATCTGTTGATAGGCAGGCTAACACAGACACCTTAGACTGGCACATAGACCCACAGACTCACACAGAAACCCACAAACTCACACAGACACACACAGACTCACACAGACAGCCATAAGCACACAGATAACCACAGACTCGCACAGAGAACCACAGACTCACACAGAGAGCCAAAGACTCACACAGACACACACAGACTCTCATAGAGACCCACAAACTTACACAGAAACCCACACTCAGAGAAAACCATAGACTCGCACAATCCGCGATGCGCATCGCAGATTTACAAAACTGGTCACCAGAACACGTGTAATGGTTACTTCTTATCAGGCCGCCATAGTGTTGATAAGTGCACATTCTCCAAATCGTATTAAGTATTAAATATTTTTTGTTAAAAAAATATTGTTACTTGTTATCACTGTTACATTGCTATGTAGCTCTTTTTCAGAAGCGACCTGGCTAACACAAATGATAGCTCAACAAAGTGGCCTATCATCACGTGGAAATGTATAGCAGCCAAATAGTCTTAACGAGTGACGTTGATTATGTGGAGGGTAAAAACCGGAGTTCACGGACAAAAATCCACGCGACCACGGGAAGACATGCAAACTCCAAATATACATCATGCGTCAGGATTCAAACCCACGACCTCCTGTATACCACATACCTGTCAACCCCTACGGTTTAGGGGCCGTCCATAAATGACGTCACGCACCTAGTGGGGGGGGGTCAGACATTTGTGACGATGTGTGACGAGGGGGGGTGTTTGAGAAATGTGACGTCACATCAAAATGCACAACTTTAAATAAATATAGGCAACACGTTCTACTTAATTAAATAGACGTTTCAATACATGTTTTCTCCTACAACATCAGAGTGCAGCGACATTAAATACACACTACAATGGCAATAGTTTAAAGCGAATTTTTAAGCATGTTTTTTTTTTGGGGGGGGGGGCAGAGCTTTGTGACGTCATATTTGAGGGGGGGGGTCTGACTTTTTGTGACGCCGTGTGACGATGAGGGGGGGGGGGGTCAAAAATTGTCCAAAATCGCGTGACGTCATTTATGGACGGCCCCCTACCCGTATTCTTGTACAGGGATATTTAGTTTTCAGCTCCATACGGCGTACAGCCGTTTCAATACGGGCAACCATTTTTTTGTCTCTTTGTTTGTGTTTCTCCCTTGTGATGGGACTTTGTAGGAAGAACGTGGAGATTTACAAGGGGCACGGGGTGACCAAATTTATTTATTTATGTAGTTTATTGTTACAAATTCGGTCACAGTCCCTATGATCACTGTTACATTGCATTTATGGCTTTCATTTTGGTGATTTCGAAAACGTTTTTTATTTTGGCCATGTTTTTGTTTATTGTAGTACGGAGTTAGACTGATGGCCTTAATCTTAGTTGTCTTGTGGTTGTTGTTGTTATTTGACTTGCATCCCACTGGGATTTTTGCACACAGCGTTGATGTGTACGGTGCTATTTCAGGAATATCTTGATGTTGTTTTTTTTCCTGGATTTTCTGTTTGCGCAGTCACACACAAAGTCACTTTAAGATGTTTTTCTTGTTCATGTTGTTTTTGTTTGTTGCGGTTGCACCCGATTCAAGAGCCGAATGGCTCACAGGGCTATACCAAAATAAATGAAACTGTGGAACTATGAACCAATAAGGTCTGAACTGGTCTGCAATAAGGTAGGGCACTGATAAGGGGTTGACAAGGTATGCAAACAGGCGAGGTAGTTAACGTCTCGCCACCGCGTCCTATTAACACAGAGCACGCGCTGATGGTTGTTTACCTCATTTGCATAATAACCACGATCCGCCCACGTGACCTCGCTGGCCCCTCCCCGGCGGTGCACGTCACGTGACTCCCCCATACAATGCGCGAGGGGGGGTGGGTAAGGCGTACAGTGAGGTACAGTGAGGAGCGCGCGCGCGCGAGACTTTCCCTTCGCTGTAGTTCTACTGTACATGTACAGTACACGTACACGTACTGTACATGCCCGTACTGTACCCGGCGAGCATCCCAAACCGGTCGTGGGCCTCACCTGGGTGGACTCGGCGTCAAATGAGTGCGCGGTGCGCGGTGCGCATTGGACTTCGTCGATCGGTGCGGGCCGCCCCCATTGGGCCCCTACGGGGACCCTTGGCTTTGTGGGGAGCGGTGGTGACTGTGTGGGTTGGTGAGTGTGTGTGTGGGTGTGTGTTGGTGTGTGTGTGTGGGTGTGTGGGTGAGTGTTGGTGTGTGTGTGAGTGGGTGAGTGTGTGTGTGGGTGTGTTGGTGTGTGTGAGTGTGTGTTGGTGTGTGTGTGGCTTTGTCTGTGGGGAGCGGTGGTGACTGTGTGGGTGTGTGTTGGTGTGTGGGTGTGTGTGTGAGAGTGTGAGTGGGTTGGTGTGTGAGTGGGTTGGTATGTGTGTGGGTGAGTGTGGGTTGGTGTGTGTGTGAGTGTGTGTGTGTTGGTGTGTGAGTGGGTGAGTTTCTGTGTGGGTGTGTGGGTTGGTGAGTGTGTGGGTGTGTGTGGCTTTGTCTGTGGGGAGCGGTGGTGAGTGTGTGGGTTGGTGTGTGGGTGAGTGTCTGTGTGAGTTGTGTTGGTGTGTGGGTGAGTGTGTGGGTGTGTGTGAGTGTGTGTGGGTTGGTGAGTGTGTGTGTGTTGGTGTGTGGGTGAGTGTGTGGGTGTGTGTGAGTGTGTGTGGGTTGGTGAGTGTGTGTGTTGGTGTGTGGGTGTGTGGGTGTGTGTGTGTTGGTGAGTGTGTGTGGGTGTGTGTGTGGCTTTGTCTGTGGGGAGCGGTGGTGAGTGTGTGGGTGAGTGTGTGTTGGTGTGTGTGTGGCTTTGTCTGTGGGGAGCGGTGGTGACTGTGTGGGTGTGTGTTGGTGTGTGGGTGTGTGTGTGAGAGTGTGAGTGGGTTGGTGTGTGAGTGGGTTGGTATGTGTGTGGGTGAGTGTGGGTTGGTGTGTGTGTGAGTGGGTTGGTGTGTGGGTGAGTGTGTGTGTGGGTTGGTGTGTGTGTGGGTGAGTGTGTGGGTTGGTGTGTGTGTAGGTGAGTGTGTGTGTTGGTGTGTGTGTGTGTTGGTGTGTGTGTGGGTTGGTGAGTGTGTGTGGGTGAGTGTGTGTTGGTGTGTGTGTGTGTGGGTTGGTGTGTGTGTGGGTGAGTGTGTGGGTTGGTGTGTGTGTGTATTGGTGTGTGGGTTGGTGTGTGGGTGAGTGTGTGTGTGTGGGTTGGTGTGTGGGTGAGTGTCTGTGTGGGTTGGTGTGTGTGTGGGTTGGTTGGTGTGTGGGTGAGTGTGTGTGGGTGAGTGTGTGTGTGGGTTGGTGTGTGCATGTGAGTGTGTAGGTTGGTGTGTGTGTGGGTTGGTGTGTCTGTGGGTGAGTGTGTGGGTTGGTGTGTGGGTGAGTTGGTGTGTGTGTGAGTTGGTGTGTGTGTGGGTGAGTTGGTGTGTGTGTGGGTGAGTGTGTGTGTGGGTTGGTGTGTGTGCATGCGTGGAGTGTGGGTTGGTGTGTGTGCATGCGAGTGTGTGGGTTGGTGTGTGTGCATGCGAGTGTGTGGGTTGGTGTGTGCATGCGAGTGTGTGGGTTGGTGTGTATGCATGCGAGTGTGTGGGTGAGTGTGTGGGTTGGTGTATGTTCATGCGAGTGTGTGGGTTGGTGTGTGTGCATGCGAGTGTGTGTTGGTGTGTGTGCATGCGAGTGTGTGGGTGAGTGTGTGTGGGTTGGTGTGTGTGCATGCGAGTGTGTGGGTTGGAGGAGTTGGAGACGCTGCTGCTGAGACTGGAGCGTGCCACTAAGAGGTGGGGACTTACCATCAGCCCCACCAAAACTAAGCACCTGCCTGGGTATTTTGTACCATCGGACACTCTACCCCCACAACTCCCAATCGGTGATGGGGCAGTTGTGGAGCGAGTGGAGAGTTTCCCATACCTGGGCAGTGTGCTTATGACCGGCTCCAGTTTAACAGCAGAGGTCTCACTCCGAATTAGTCGAGCGGCAATATCTTTTCATCGGTTGCGTAACGCTGTGTTGGAAGCTACCTGGTCTGTCGCTCCGCACTAAGTTTCAGGTCTTCTCGGCCACGGTCATTCCCTCCCTTCTCTACGCTTGCGAAACGTGGACCCCCCCAAATGGAACATCTTCGCCGGTTAGAAACATTTAGGCTGGCCTGCCTACGATCCATCCTGGGTTTAACCAGACTGGATTGTGTGGGGAGCTCACAAATCCTTGAAAGATCTGGACAAGGTCCCATCGGTGAGCTCCTCCGGCGGGCAAGGCTGCGATGGCTGGGTCATGTAGCCCGCATGCCCAGCCACCGCATGCCGAAGCAGCTTTTGTTCGGCCGGATTGAGGGGGCTAAACGGGCGCGGCATGGGCTAGAGAAGAGATGGAGTGATGTGGTGCAGGAGGACGTGGAGCTGAGTGGACTTGCCGATGACTGGTACCAGCGGTGTCAAGGTCGGCCTCTGTGGAGGAGGCTCATGAAGGACGCTACTGGGCAGTTGTAGGCAGTCGCCCTCCAACAACAACGGAGGGCGGAGGAGCGACGCTCACAACAACGAGCGGAGCGCCGGGTGGCTAAAGCACAGTGGGTTGGCACAGTAGGGGGCACAGGTGGTGCATCAGCCAGTCATCTCAGTCGACCCGTGGCACCTGGGTTTGCCCCGTGACCTCCTGCCAGCGGGCGTTCGACACTTCACGTGGCCTCAGGGTGCACATAGCCTGGCACAAGCGTCGTGGTGACGTCACCGCCACTTAGTGGTGAATGGCGGTTGTTGTGGGTTGGTGTGTGTGCATGCGAGGAGTGTGGGTTGGTGTGTGTGCATGCGAGTGTGTGGGTTGGTGTGTGTGCATGCGAGGAGTGTGTGGGTTGTTGTGTGTGCATGCGAGGAGTGTGTGGGTTGTTGTGTGTGCATGCGAGGAGTGTGGGTTGTTGTGTGTGCATGCGAGGAGTGTGTGGGTTGGTGTGTGTGCATGCGAGGAGTGTGTGGGTTGTTGTGTGTGCATGCGAGGAGTGTGTGGGTTGTGTGTGCATGCGAGGAGTGTGTGGGTTGTTGTGTGTGCATGCGAGGAGTGTGTGGGTTGTGTGTGCATGCGAGGAGTGTGTGGGTTGGTGTGTGTGCATGCGAGGAGTGTGGGTTGGTGTATGTGCATGCGGGGAGTGTGTTGCGTGGAGCGGTGATTCCCGCTCACGGCCTACACCAGTGACGATTATCTGAACCGGTCCTGGGTCTCCCCTGGGTCGACTCGGCCTCAAACGAGTTAGCTTGTGCGGTGCGTAGTAAAACAGATTTTCCTAACTTAGATTTACCAAGGTGCTTTACAGCAATAAAAAAAAGTACATAGCATGACAATAATTTGAAATAAAGAGTTGGGTTATTATACGTGGTGTCATTTTGATGCAGACAGGCAAGATGGATTGATAAAGAGGGGTTGGGATAGGCCTGGTCGTAGTTGGGGGGGGGGGGGGCGACAGAAAGCTGGGGGGCCACTGTCTTAATGGGTGCTCGCTAACAGCACTCGCCTCAACAGTCTTTGTATGTTGTGGAAAATGCTGTTAGCGAGCAGCACCAATGAAGGCCGGCACGGCGCACGAAGGTGGCCAGCACCACGCCCGGCCGCCTTTGTCTCCCTCTTGGCAACCAGGTACTCGTTTGTGGCTGAGTGGACCGAGGGGTTGCACAGGGCCGGTTGTTCAGAGAAAAATGTCAGTGGCGGGAATCGAACTCGGGTCGCCAGGTTCGTAGCGGATTGTAGGCTATCCCCCAGTTTTGCGTGGAATTCCTCCGGGTTTTCAAAATGACTCAATTGGGATTTGAGAAAAAGTGAGCCTTGAGACTAAGGCTTTCTGGAGGGTTGGCAAACGATTTAAAAAAAGAAACAACAATAATTAACTTCATTGCTGAAGTCGATGCTATTGTTGATGATGTATAGGGGAGGCGATGACGTCGTTTGGCTGGGTGAAGAGGTCTGGGTCCGTGTTGAAGCCTCGAGTCTCCCTGGGTGAGGACGATGATGATGACGACAGTGGTGGTGGTGGTGAGGTGACGCTCCCGATAGACAAGAAGAGAAAACACAGCCAAGATGGGTGAGAGGTGGTGATGGCGGTGATGGTTGGGGGTGATGGTAATGTTGGTGCTGATTATGATGGTGATGATGACAATGCTGGTGGTGGTGATGTTGGTGGTGATGATAGTGATGTTGGTGGGAATGATGGTGGTGGGTGGTGATGATGATGGGGGGTAATTATAGTGATGATGTTGGTGGGGGCTATGATGGTGATGGGGGTGATTATGGTGGTGGTCGTAATAGGGGGTGATGGGAGTGATGATGATGAAGGTGATTGCTATGGTGTTGATGGTGGGTGTGATGATGATAGTGGTGGTAGGAGTGATAATAGTGATGATGGGAGTGATGATGGTGGTGGTGGTGGTGATGATGTTGGTGGGGGTTATGACGCTGGTGATGGGGGTGATAATGGTGGGGGTGGGGGTGGTGGTGATGGCAACCCTCTAACATGAAGTTAATATAACCCGGGCAGTGGTGGTGGCTGCTATGCTTATGGCCTCTAATCAAGCACTGGAGGCATCAGTGAGGGTTGGTGGATCACACACGCTGTGAAACTCCCTGTGCATATCGAGGAGGAGCCATACTCTGGCTCGCCAGGAGAAGGCAGTAAAGCAAAGCGTGGACTTCACCTGTTCCATCTATATGGGATAAAGTTTTGCCCCCTCACATCCGGGGATTTGCTCGGGGTGCTCCGGTTTCCTCCTACGTGTATAACGCTCATTAATTGGCCGATAGAACCAAAGCTAGGGGACCGCAGTACTAGAGCAATTGTGATAGTGCAGGGTTGTCGCGCAAACAGAACATGCCAATTCGTCACTAGTACAGCACACCGGTGTGTTGGAGAGCCAAGCCACAACATTTACAATCTGAGTACGACGTTTCGCCAGTAATTACAGCTAGCTTCAGACGACAGCCAGATTTGTGGAGAAGTCTTAACTGTTTCGTTCCTTATATAGAGGCTTAGATGTGGTAACCACACTTCTGCGCTCTTGCTCAAAGTGGGGGGGGGGGGTGAATTAATGAGTCAACGTACATTATGCGAGCCCTTTGATCTTGTTGTTCCTGTCTATTGTGTGTATTGAAGTAGCCATACCAACGGTAATCCCTATTGAAGTATGGTGCCCTTCATAGGCATGCATTTAAATAATTTATTTGAGGATTCACTTCCACACAGCACTAAGGCGGTTGCTATCCGAACGGTTAAAATAATTTGTATTTCTTTCAATTTCGATAGATTCTCTAATTAGTCTTGGCCAGTAGTAGCTAGTTTTGCACAGAACTTCAACATTATCAAAATCAATTGAGTGTCCTTGTTGGCACACGTGTGCTGCTGCTCCTGACAGTTGTATCAGCAGTGCTGCGTGGAAGCGAATGCCGTACTCAGATTGTAAATGTTGTGGCTTGGCTCTCCAACACACCGGTGTGCTGTACTAGTGACGAATTGGCACGTTCTCTTTACGTGACAACCCTTACTAGTTGGCTGTGTCGGGTGGTGGTGGGTTTTAATGACACATATATTTACGCGATCTAACCCAAAAAAAACTATTATGGATTAAAGCCTACGTGTTAAACTGTGATAGTCCAGGCTCCTCACTGCTTGGCTTCTGTCTTTCTGCTCGTCTGTAGTTCCTTGCGCCTCTGAGTTGTCCTTGAGAATGAGCAAATACTGTGTAGTGCGGTACACGTTTAAATTATTATTGATAATATTGTTGTGTAGAGGAGTGTTGTTGGTAATGTTGATGATAATTATGTGTTTTGATTTAAAGCTTTCGTGACTGCAGGGATTCATATTCTTGGTTCTTTCGGTAAAGTCACCACGTAGAAGGGAAACAATAAAATAAAAATATATAAATTATTTTATAAATAAAAATATATTAATTATTTTTGTTTCCCTTCTATGTGACTTTACCGAAAGAACCAAGAATATGATAATGATGTGTGTTATCCACGTTTTGTTAACATTTCATGGATGGGAAGGGTAATGGAGATGGTGTGTGATAACGCTTTCTGATCATTTCGATTATGTAAATTATTATTTGATGTTGCTGGGTATAGGAGTGGTGATGGTGGTGGTCTTGGCAGCGATGGTGATGATGGAACTTCAGTGACGTTGCGATGCTGCGAGCTCAGAGACGAAGGAGCGAGACTCGCTGAGTCAGGGAGGTGAGTCACGCAAGCCCCATACAGTGAGGGAAAAAAGTATTTTGTACGTTTCCCCACTGACAAAAAAATGATCAGTCTATAATTTTAATGGTAGGTTTATTTGAAAAGTGAGAGACAGAATAACAACAACAAAAATCCAGAAAAACGCATGTCAAAAATGTAAAAAATTGATTTGCATTTTAATGAGGGAAATAAGTATTTGACCCCCTCTCAATCAGAAAGATTTCTGGCTCCCAGGTGTCTTTTATACAGGTAAAGAGCTAAGATTAGGAGCACACTCTTAAAGGGAGTGCTCCTAATCTCAGCTTGTTACCTGTATAAAAGACACCTGTCCACAGAAGCAATTAATCAATCAGATTCCAAACTCTCCACCATGGCCAAGACCAAAGAGCTCTCCAAGGATGTCAGGGACAAGATTGTAGACCTACACAAGGCTGGAATGGGCTATAAGACCATTGCCAAGCAGCTTGGTGAGAAGGTGACAACAGTGGGTGCGATTATTCGCAAATGGAAGAAACACAAAAGAACTGTCAATCTCCCTCAGCCTGGGGCTCCACGCAAGATCTCATCTCGTGGAGTTGCAATGATCATGAGAACCGTGAGGAATTAGCCCAAAACTACATGGGAGGATCTTGTCAATGATCTCAAGGCAGCTGGGACCATAGTCACCAAGAAAACAATTGGTAACACACTACGCCGTGAAGGACTGAAATCCTAAAGCGACCGCAAGGTCCCCCTGCTCAAGAAAGCACATATACATGCCCGTCTGAAGTTAGCCAATGAACATATGAATGATTCAGAGGACAACTGGGTGAAAGTGTTGTGGTCAGATGAGACCAAAATGGAGCTCTTTGGCATCAACTCAACTCGCCGTGTTTGGAGGAGGAGGAATGCTGCCTATGACCCCAAGAACACCATCCCCGCCGTCAAACATGGAAGTGGAAACATTATGCTTTGGGGGTGTTTTTCTGCTAAGGGGACAGGACAACTTCACCGCATCAAGGGACAATGGATGGGGCCATGTACCGTAAAATCTTGGGTGAGGACCTCCTTCCCTCAGCCAGGGCATTGAAAATGGGTCGTGGATGAGTATTCCAGCATGACAAAGACCCAAAACACACGGCCAAGGCAACAAAGGAGTGGCTCAAGAAGAAGCATAATAAGGTCCTGGAGTGGCCTAGCCAGTCTCCAGACCTAAATCCCATAGAAAATCTGTAGAGGGAGCTGAAGGTTCGAGTTTGCCAAACGTCAGCCTCGAAACCTTAATGACTTGGAGAAGATCTGCAAAGAGGAGTGGGACAAAATCCCTCCTGAGATGTGTGCAAACTACAAGAAACGTCTGGGTTTTGCCACCAAGTACTAAGTCATGTTTTGCAGAGGGGTCAAATATTTATTTCCCTCATTAAAATGCAAATCAATTTATAACATTTTTGACATGCGTTTTTCTGGATTTTTTTGTTTTTATTCTGTCTCTCGCTGTTCAAATAAACCTACCATTAAAATTATAGACTGATCATTTCTTTGTCAGTGGGCAAACGTACAAAATCAGCAGGGGATCAAATACTTTTTTACCTCACTGTATGTAGCAGTGTTGGTTTTGGGGTAAAGGCTGTGGGTTAGGGTTTGTGCCCACTCATTCACCCACTCACTCACCCACCCACTCACTCATCTACCCACTAACTCATCCACCCACTAACTCATCCACCCGCTCACTCATCCACCCACTCATACACTCACTCCTCCGCTCACTCACTGCCTCAATCACTCATTCACTCATACAGTACATTAATCCACTCTCACACTCGCCCACTTACACACGTACACATCCACTCATTGACCCACTCACTTCATCCACCGACTAACTTACACAGTCACTCACTCATCCACCCATTCATGACTGATCCACTCAATCGTCAACCCTATCACTCTTTCACTCATCGACCCACTCATTTCACTCATCCACACACTCATTCACCCACTCACTCACCCACCCACTCACCCACTCTCATCCATCCATTCATATACTTATTCACTCACTCATGAATCCTATCAGTGATCCACTCATCGACCCACTAACTCACCCAAACATCGACTCCGTCATTCGCCCACTCATTCACCCACTTATTCACTCATTCAGTTACCCATCCACCCCCACTCACTCACCAATCCACTCACTCACCAATGCACTCGTCCGTTAACTCACCCACTCACCTACTCACTCACTCATTTAGCCACCCACTCAATCACCTAATCACTCATCCACCCACTCACTCATCTACCCACTTAATACACTCACTCATCCACTGACTAACTCACCCATCCACCCACTTACTCATTTATCTACCGACCCACTCACTAAATCACCCACTCACACAATAACTCAGCCACTCACTCAATCATCTACTCCTTCATTTACTAATTAGCCCACCAACCCACACACACACTCACTCACCTGCTCACTCACTCATCCACCCACCCACTTATACTCTCACTCACACTCACTCCTACACTCACCCATTCACTAAATAACTCATTCACCCACTCACTTAATTACCCACTCGCCCACCGCTTAACTCACCCACTCACTCACCTACTCATGTACTCATTCACCCACCACTCACTCACTCATCCACTCACTTAATACACTCACTCATCCACTCATTCACTTATTAACCCACATACCCCTTCACACAAACTCACTCACCTACTTATGCACTCATTCACCCACCACCCACTCAATCACCCACTCATTAACTGGTTAAAACCAGTTAAAACAGGTTCAAATTGATGTTATTTTGCGTTCAATTCTCTGCAATTAGTATTATCGTCATCATGGTGGTGGTGTATCCGCAGCTCGATGAAGCTCAATGTGACGAGTTCGATCTGAGTGTGTTCTCTAATCCTCGTGTTCCTCTGCCCCATGTGTCCTGTGGTACCCAGTCTGAGGGAGGCTTTACGATTGTGGGATACGGCCATCGCCATGACAACAAATGATGCCAAGATACATGAAATGAAAGCACAGGTGGGTGGGTGAGTAGGTGAATGATTGGTGGTTGTAAGTAACTAGTGAGGATGTGGGTGATTTGGCCAGTGAGTGAGTGTGTATGTGGGTGGCTGGATGTATGGATGGATGAGTTAATGAGTGATTGACTTGGTGGGCAATTGATTGGTGATTATAAGTAACTTTTGAGTATATGGGCCACTGAGTGTCAGTAGGTGTGTGAGTGGGTGGGTGAGTGAGTTAGTGGATGAATATTTGAGTTGCTGAGTAGGTGAATGATTGCTTATTGTAAGTAACTGATACATGGGTATATCAGTGCATGTGTTTATGAGTGATGGAGTGAGTGAGCATTTTTTTCTTGCTGTGGTTGTCCCACCTGATGAAGATTTCTTGTGCTGCAATCGAAACGTCGTGATCTATTTATTTATTTTATATCTAACTACGTGACTTTACTGAAAGAACCAAAGAGTATGAATTCCTGCAGTCACGAAAGCTTCAAATCAAGATTGAAGTGGCTTATCATGTGGAAATTTATAACAGCCAAATTATCTAAACGCATGTTTCTAAATGTGGGAGGAAACTCGGAGGTCCTGGAGTAAAATCCACGCGATCATGGGGTGAGAGACACAAAATCTCCAAATATACAGCAGGCATCAGGGTCGGGATTAAACCCATGTACCTCCTGCATACCAGGCGAGGGCGTTAACATCTCGGGCCTTGGTGCTTATTGATTATAAGCAACTGGTGAGTTTGTGTGGATGAGGTGAGTGGGGGGTTGAGTAAGTGGATTTCTAAGAGGATGAGCGAGTGGGTGAGTAAATTTTATATTACTTGATTTGTTACACGGATGGTCCCATTTAGCCAGTTACATGGCTATTTTAAAAGGGAGATCCGTGGTCTTGTGAGCACAGCAACAACAACACAAAATAACAATACAAAGAGTAGGCTAATGATTTTTGATTGTACGTAGCTGGTGAGTGAGTTTATTGGCCATTGGGTGAATTTGAGTAGGTGAGTGGATGAATGGCTGGGTGAGTGGGTGAGTGTATGATAACATGGGTGAGTGGGTATGTGGGAAAGTGGATGTACGAGTTAGAGGGTGAGTGGACTATTGAGAAGGTGAGTGGGTGATTGAGTTAATGAGTTAGTGAGTGTGGGTAAATGATTGAATGGGTAGGTGAGTGTGTGTGGAAATCAGTGTGTAATTGAGTGAATGCGTGAGTGAATGAATGAGTAAAGAACTGATTAATTTTAGAGTGTGGTGAGTGGGTGCATTCATGAATGATGGAGTATGTATGTTGAACTTCTCTCACACCGTATGTAGCCAATCATGTTAATCAGAGGTGAGTGAACATGGTAGGCAGCGAGTTGGTGAGTGCGAGTGACTGGTCAAGTCTGGTCAGGATGTTGAGTAACTGGTGAGTCTGGTAGGTTCTCATGGAGCTGGGGGAGTGGTTCCGGGCTGTGCAATCCGCTCACCGCTCCATCTCCATGTGTGCGTGCTGGGCCCCGGCCTGGCTCACCTTGGCCCGTGCCCAGCTCAACCTGGGGGAACCTGCCATGGTGAGACCCCTAACCCAGCGCTTTCCAAACAATTTTTCAATAGACCTCATTTTAACACGGGTAAAATTCATATGATCCCGACCATTATTTAAGAACACACGTCAATTTTCTCATTGATTTTGTTTGGAGTTTCGGTATTGTGGAACAATACATTTGAAAATATACGTTTTGATCAAGAAATTATGGAAGTGAGGGTTTGACGTACTCATCAGGGTCTGCTGAGACACGTGAGCTTCAGACATGCGACAGTTTCTGAAGTCTGGCAGTGTGGTTGCTATTGCATAGCTAAAAAAAACTAATCCATTGAACTATTTTTTATTTTACCAGGTAAGGTCCACTGAGCTATATAGCTATATTTTAGAAACGACCTGGTCACAAATGATAGCTCAACTAAGTGACTTATCACTTGGAAATTTATAGAAGACAAATTCTCTCAACGCATGTTTTCTAAATGTGGAGGGAAAAATCGGAGGAGCTGGAGAAAAATCCACACGACTATGGGGTGAACATGCAAACTCAAAATATGCAGGCGTCAGGATCCTGCACACCAGGCGAAGTAGTTAACATCTTTCCACCATCAGCTGTGACATCCAGAGTCAATCTGTAGCTTAGACTTGATGCAAACGAGTACACTGAATCTGGCTGCACACACACAGACACATGTACGCGTTTGCCAAGAACACCCATCACTTTCACGGCACTCGTTCAGATTTCAGGGTATTCGCAGTGAACCGGAATTCTGGAAGAGGAGTTTGGGAATGTGTTCCATACAAAAGCCGATGAGCTGTTTGATTTCAGCTGTGGGCAGATCCATTAATTGAAATTATTGTGAATTGAATATAGGAAATACAAGTTAAAGACACACTCTTTTCTTCACTTTATTGGCTTCACATTCAATTCTAGATTCATTTTAGGGGCCATTGTTATTGATCTTATTTAACGTTTAAGTAAAAAAACACTTAAGTATTCAAGAGAGCTGTTTCCATAAGTAACGCACATAAAACGTTGAAAAGCTAGCAGCCAGTTGCTCTCAAAATGCTCATTAAAGGGTGTCGCTGATTGGCTGAGGTCTGCCAAGTTTGCTTAGGAGCGCTCCTATTGCTCTAAAATGGCAGGTCCGTGTGATATTGTAAAACTTATCGTTGAATCGAAAATGCATCGTTAATAGAAACAATGGGACCCTATGGGAGGTAGATCATTAATCAAAATATTGTTAATCGATGGCATCGTGAAACGAGGGACTCGCTATTTGCTTTGCTGAGCACAGCAAATAGACGCAGAAGGCATGTTGGCTTTTCTTAGTTCTTCTCAAACACACCTGTGAAGCCATTCGCGAGAAGTGTCTCCTCGAATTTGCGAAAACTTGAAGTTACTTTTCTCGCTCGCCGAAGTCAGTGGACTGACAACTAGAGGCAGATTGTTTCAAACATCTCTCCGCTTTTACGTTGCACACGCAGGCACGGAGACATTTTTCACTCAGACGGAACAAACTGCAATTCCCACAATGCTCAAAGATGGACGTCTCTCTTCATCAATCAGAAAGCTGTATTATCTGAATCAAATCAATATGCAGGTTTCTGATTTGTTGGAGATGTTTTGGTGTTACCCCCAACCAAAAACACAGTTTTAATGTAAAAAAATGTCTAGGACGTCTCTCTATGCCTCCCTATTGCTTTATACAACCAAAACTTTAAATTCGTGAGTGTGAGATTTGCGGGGTTGGGCTGCATTTCTTGCGACCCATCCTCTGAGATGACACCATTTGGTGGGGTCGAGACCCCAGGTTTTGAAAGCGCTGCCCGAATCCCCTTGCAACGTCACCACCACAGCCTCCACCGCTTGCTGAGGACCATCGACACACCCTGTGTAGTGGTTGTTGTTAGGGTGTGGAGTGATTGAGTACATTTTATTATAATTCGTACACATGACCATTGCTCTGAAAAAAGATCATGTAAAGTTAATCCGTGCAGAGTAAACTCAAGAATTATAGCGTACAAGGGAGATTATGTTCCTGGCCCCTTTAACATACAACTTTACACGAGGCTGATGCGTACGTCTCCTTCGTGAATGGAACATTAAGACAAGTCGCGGTAGTGTGATTGTGGCCATGCAACCCAAATTATGGAAGCATATAGTAAATTCATAGAGACCCACGGAGATACATAGAGACGCAGAAATACATTATAAAGACAAACCATAGTGTTCTTGTGGCCATGCAACCCGAACTATGACCCATATAGTAAACCACTATGGTCTGTGCTCCTTCAATGGAGGAGGAACAGCAAAACCATACGAACTCTCTCCTGAAGCCCACTCATAGCCAGCAGAGCTCGGCATTGGCACTAAGTTCCTGAACATATTGCTGCCATTATACACGAGAGTAGAGTATAATCAGTATTCTTAAATGCTTTGTTTTATGCAGGAAAGCCTCGCCGAGTCATACGAATATTGTAGGAGTGTACTGGCAATTTTTTCGTATGTAGTGAGTGATACTTTTGGTGTATAATTCGAATTGAGTGATTGGCAGTAATTTTTCAATTTGGACTCTGACACCACAGCACACACAGTCGCCTACCACTCTTGCAAATGTCTTCACTGGAGCCGGCGAAAAATCATCCCAAGTTAGGAGCTCGCATCTGGCTTCAATTCCAAATGTCTCACATGGTGGAGCCTAAACAGACTGAGAGTGGGTTTCGGCAAATGCAACTCTCGTGAAATCATGGGGGGACTTCTACACAACCGACCAATGTGCTTGTCAGGAGAAGCAAACCATGGATCAACTCCTGAGATGCCCTGTAGCACCGCAGTGCACTCTTCAGTATTTGGCAGTGCCAACACCAGAAGCAGTGGCCTGTGCAGAACATTGGAAGAACACGACGAGAAAGACTGGATATATAATATCCACTTTGAAACGAAGCAGACGCCTCGTATTGTTACAGTTAATACACCCCTCAGCATTAACCAGGGCGGCCTGATGGATTCGACCTGCTGGGGGACGTCACCGGCACCTCATTTATTTAGTAATTTTGGTGGTTGCTGACGATGAGTACGCTGTGTTTGATGTAGTGGTTGTTGTTGTGGTTGTTCAGTTGTGGTTAGTGTTGATTGTGGCCATTACACCGACTGAAAGCTTTCTTGTCACGTTGCTCTAGGAGTGTAGATTGTAAATTAGTCTGTGTGACTGTGTTACTGTGCGGGGAGTGGTGGCGCAGCGATTAGCACGTGCTACGAACCCAGCGACACGAGTTTGATTCCTGGACCTTCCCGAGGTCGACTCAGCCTCAAATGAGTACCTGGTGTGGTGCGTTAACATCGCCACTGGGGAGACAGTCAGTCGGGCGTGGTGCTGGCCACTCACCCCCTCGTGTGCCGTGGCGATCTTCATAGGTTCTACGCGCGAACAGCACTTGCTCCTACAGTCTGTGACGGCTGTACAGGGGATCTTTGTTTTTTTGTGACTGTGAATAAATGTGTTTGTGGGTAGTTTTAGTCGGAGTTGCAGTTGGTGCAGTAATTAGAAACTCTCCTCTCAGGCTGTGCGGAGTTTCTCTGTTGGTCTGCATCTGGAGCCCTGGGAGTCTGAGCCCATAATGGCCGAGTTGAGATGGGCTCAACAACTACAGGAACAACTGCAACAACAACCACCACATACACACCTACCACAATCACTACAGCCTCATTGACAAACACCACAGCAGCTACAACTACTACCGGCAACAACCACATCTGCATTCACAATAACAACAAGTGCATTGTCAACTACCACAACTGCAGCAGCTTGGGAAACTGCAGCTGTCAAGCTTCTTGCTCTATCTTTCTACATCCTGCCGAATTATATTTACAACGCTCGTGTGCCGCGTTCTCTCTTACCTCGTCCTTTAAGCAAATTCAGTTTGTTGATTAAAACCCGTGTTTCCCTTGACATTCCATTTGCAATTTGTGAAACAACACCATAAACACCGCCACCGCTGTAGAATATATGATTCATTAGGAGTACAAATTAGGTTTAAAGTTGTGCTATGTGGGACTTAAATTTAACACAGTCTAGGGCTTTTGAAACCAATTAATGATTGATTTTTTATTCGGATCGCATGAGTAATATGTGTGTTGTACACCCTCCCTTACCTAACAGCCAATAAAGTTTTTTTTATGAACAAATGTGCCAATTTATGACTGCTTAGACACACCACTGGTGTGTTGGAGAGCAATCCACAACACATTGTGGAAATGTGGATTGAAATTCTGTTCGAGGAGCTCTCAGGTCTTTGACCGATCTGGACCTGGACATAATCCGACCAGTGAGCTTTTCTTGCAGGTGCTGTTTGGGCGCCTTGGTCACACTCATTACACACACAGATGCTTGCCACAAATGAATCACAATACCTTGCTGATCTTGTCAAGGAGCATAAACCATCACGCAAACTCCAGTCATCCTTGCATCAGCTGTCGGCTAACCATCTAAAAAAGATGGTCACTCCATTGCATGCCTTCAGATGCGCTTCTGCGGTTGTCTGGAACGCTCTTTCGATATTAGGAATCCACTGGAGCTATGCACTTTTGAATCTAGATCGAAAACTCCTTGTTCAAGAATTACATTGTGTTTAGTTAGCCTTCCCCCGCTCCTCCGATTAACATGGTTGATTACGTAGGGTACAAAAGAAGTTCAAGATGCATTCCTATTGCGTCATATGAAGCTCCAGGTATTGAAGGCCACAGTTGTGCCCTCTATACTTGCAACACGTGGACCCCTCTGAAGAAACATCTGCACCGGTTTGAAACACTAGAATGTCGGTGGCCCGTAGCCGCCTTATTCTCTCTCCTGCCCACAAAATAAATCTGGACTCTTGTATGGAGGGTGTGTAGGCACATATGCCTACAAAATACTTTTTTTGCAGGGTGGGTGAATTTTTTTGGCAGGTGAGGGGGAACTTAACTTTTAGAGATCTGTTGGATCAACTTTCTACCCCCACATATGGGTGGGGGGGGTCCACTTTCTATAACTCTTTTTCATCAGGCCTTCTGAAAGGCTCTTATAATTTTGTTGACGGGCAAACAGACACGGACCTGCCGGGCATTTATAATAGATACAGGCTGGCCTGCATACGATCCATCCTGGGTTTTGGATTCAAGTGTCAGGAACTCGCACATCCTTGGAAAATACTGGATATCGGTGAGCTTAAGAAAACGACACTGCATTGGGCGAGTCATGTAGCCCTCATGCTCAGCCACCGCTTTCTCAAGCAGCTTCGGTTTGGCCAGATAGAGCGGGCTAAACCGATGCAGCAGGAGTTAGAGAAGAGCTGGCCTGATGCGCTAATACGAGGATCTGGAGCTGAGTGGACTCGTTCACGACTGGTCCTCGTGGTATGGGAGGAAATGAAACCCTCTCCTGGGCGACTGGAAGCAGCAGCAGCAACTCATCAGCAACAATAGCACCAGATGGCTAACAGCAAGAAAAAAATGGTTAGAAACATAAGTGGTGCCACTCTCTGTCATTTAACCCAGGCGGCTAACCGATAACATCTTGGTATGGCCGATCTCAAACTTGAGTACGATTTAAAATTTCACCTTTTGAGGAAGTTGTTTTCCACGTTGCTGCAATGGGTAGATTCAACCCATTGCACTGAGACGGCTCTACAAAAGATAATTGATGACATACTCTGGTTCTTTCTGTAAAGTCACGTAGGTATAAAATAAAATAAATAAAATCGCGACGTTTCGGGCGCAACACAAGCATCCGTCATCAGGTGGGACAACCACAGCTAGAAACAATTGCTCAAGTGGCCAAAAGGGCTGCTGTAACAAGAGGCTATATAGGTAAGAGAGGAGAGGAGCCAGGGATGACCTACAAGATCATGGATCACCGGTGTGCCACAGCAGTGGTTGGCTGTGATCTCTCAGCCTCCTTCGACACCATCGACCATCATTGGGTGGCTAAGATCAAGGTTTGGTGTATCGGGTATGGCACTGGGGTGGATTAGCTCATACCGACTTGGTCGATCACAGTTCATCAAGTTGGGTGATGAATAGTCATTGCCTATGCCGTGCCTAATTTCTGTACCGTCCTCAGCCCCTTCCTATTTTCAACTTACATCTCTCCGATCCCCAATGTCATTCTCATCGCATGATATAAAGTTCCATCAAAATGCTGATGATACAACAATTATACATGCAGTGAAGTCAAAGTTTGATATGGAGACCCTCAGTAAACTCGAAAATTGCACGCGAGCAATGCTCATTTGGTTTGCACGAAACGAAATGCTGCTTAGTCCAGGAAAATCGGAGGTTAGTTGGCACTCGGACTCAGGCGAAAAAAAAACGTCAGAGGTTCAGGTGTGGCGATCGCAGACTCCCAAGATTAAGTGTTCTACTCGGCACCATACAAGACCAAAATATGTCGTTTGACCACCACGTGCAAAATAGTCAGATCCTGCAATTTCCATACCTGTAGCATAGTATCGACAAGGCTCAATTATTGCAACTCACTATTCGATGGGACATCTGGCAAAAACATTAGCAAGCTGCAGCGTGGAAAACATTCTTTGGCACGTGTCGTGACGGGTACTGAAAGATCCAACCATCTTCGTCCAGTGCTCGCTGAGCTGCATTGGTTTCCGGTTACTGAACGAATACATTAGAAGGTCGTGCTCATTACACACAAAGTCCTTGCCACCAATTAAGAACTGGTACCATTTCTTAATTTTGTTTTATTTTGCTTGGCCGTGGGTTTTTCATTCGCTTGGAAATGGATGTATATGAGATTTGGCCTTCATATATAATTAATGTACAGCATTATGGGATGCTATCAGCATGAATTACGCTGTATAAAATAAAAGTATTATTATATCTTGCTGATCTCGTCAAGGAGCATATACCAGCACACAAACTCCGGTCATCCTGACAGTGGCTTTTGGCTAACCATCAAACAAAGATGGTCGCCGCATCGTGCGCTTCAGATGCACTTCTGTGGCTGTCTGGAACACTCGTCCGATATTAGTAAGCCACTGGAGCTATGCACTTTTAAATCTAAATTGAAAACTAATGTCTTAAGAACTGCTTTTTGTATTTCGTTTGTTGTCCTTCCCCTGCACCTCCGATCAGAATGGTTGGCTGTGTACAGTGTGAAAGAAGTTCAAGACACATAATAGGAGCTGACTCGACAGTCCGGGCACGAAGGATGGTGCGCAATTGTCAACTTATAGAAGTGTAGTGTTCGATTTCACTCAGACAACTTCAGTCTTTCTTCGAACGCCGCTTTATTTACAATTCTCATTATGTCCTCCACATTCCACAATATCCAGGTCGCCACGGCTCGCTCGCCGTGCTTCACTCGACTCGCTCGCCACCTTTGTCTCTCCACTCCCCACGATTACTTTGCTTGCTTCGCACTCAGCGACTCCGTACTCAGCGACTCCGCGCTCAGCAACTCCGCACTCAGCAACTCCGCACTCAGCAACTCCGCACACAGCGTCTTCGCACGCAGCGACTTCAGCTCCGCTATCACTACGCTCACTCCACTGCTGGCTATTCTCTTCAGCTCCACTATCGCTATGCTCACTCCACTGCTGGCTATTCTCTTCTTCAGCTCCGCTATCGCTATGCTCACTCCACTGCTAACTACTTCGTCTTTGTTTAGCTTCGCTATCGCTACGCTCACTCCACTGCTAACTACTTCATCTTTGTTCAGCTCCGCTATCGCTATGCTCTCTCCTTCCAACTCTGCCTCTCCAACTCTGTCTCTCAACTCTCCACACTTCAATTCCCCCTGTAGACTCCAAGCTCTCCCAACTCCACGTCTTGCCTCGTCTAGCTCCCAATTCCAACTCCCCACTCTCTGTGTCTCCCCCCAATTTATCCCCATTCTCATTATCGCTAATTAATTGGCCCGCGTGCCTCCCCACGCTTCGCGTCCTCAAACACCTGTCTTTCTCCAGACATCTCGACGCCTCCTCGCCCTTGACAACAGCCCCAGCCAATCACCGCCGTTGCTGGTCCTCTGGCTTAATTGGCCCAACCGTTACCTCATCATCCCAGCCCTTGCACCTGGCTGTCCTAACATGACCCATACTGTTTTTGCCTTCCCTACAGGCTGACCCAAGATAACCCGTACTGTCTGTGTGATCATGCAATCACACCGCCTCCACCACGCACCTTCGTACTCCACTACAGAAGCACTGTCCAGCCAAACACCTTGCGTTAGCGGTGAACGTCAGCTCGGTGTCGACATAAGCACCGATACGCGCTACGTCATTGGATACTGAGATGTCACAGCCATTCAGAAGAATTGACTTACAGTTGACTAGCAAACTGGTGGCAGGTTCTAAGTGACGAAGTTAGTCTTGTCAGTGTTCAGCTTCAGACGGTTCGACATCATCCAGCTGTTTATATAATAAATGCACGATATCAGGCATGGAATATGGAAGGCACCCAACTCGGCTTTTGCATGCAGATATCATTTTGTGAGTGAAGTGGTCTAAGGTTGTATGAAATGTGGGGGACGGTGGGTGGGGGGGGGGGGGTGCATCTGCCCAGGTGGCTCACAGTTGTGGAATCAGAGGATGTGTGGCTATCAGGCTGCTACGTTTATAGTGTTGCGCGGTCGCAGAGTCATAGCTAGTAATATGTTACGGACACATTTCCTCTTCAGTCGCTGGGAAAACATCCCCTGTACAGACTTTAGACAAAACTTAAGTTATGGCCACGTTACGCATTATAGGTGTTATTGGAGGGTAGATAAGTGCCGCTATCCAGTGACACGGAGGCGATAAATTGAACCTGACATCGAGCAGACATTTATTTCCAGAGGCACCTCTATATTGAGTCTCCCTGGACTCACAACGTTACTGGCTTTCCAAGACCCGAGTCTCCTGGTCTACATCTTTCCTGCTCGTCTCCTATCCTCACTCTACCTCCCCCTGTTTTCCTTCGCATCATTGTCTCTCCCGGCCACTGTAATGGAGGCTATAGCTCACCTGCTCATCTTCAACTGTATGGCGGCATCCTTCATCACTCCAGGTGAGTGTCGTGCATATTTACTCCATAGAGATACAAACAGACATAGACAATCACATAGACGCAAACAACAATCGCCTATATAGTATTTACCAGACTGTGGAGGCAAGTGCCATTCATAATCCAGTGTAATATGTGGTTT